CATCGCAAGAGCAAGTCAGTTGGATGTAAAGCCTTGACCTACTTGCTGAGCATACCAGACCAGTCCAGGTGACAACCAGCTCAACTAAGCACTTTTGCCTGGATTACACTATGATGTTTTCAAGAAACTGTTTCAGAGAAGAGAAAAATGTGCAATGACATAGGGACCTGAAGAAGCTAGTCCTTCCTAGGATCCCTTCACACTATAATCGTGTTTGATATGATCAAGCTGTACACAGATATCTTTACTATTATTTTAACATCCATCTTTGTGTATGCTCAGTTCTTATTGTTAAGATTAAACAATACTTTGGTTTATTGAATCTGTCTGATCATAGCCGGTACTAAACCAAATATACTATTCTGTGTAGATGTTAGAAGTCTGTAGAAACTGTATTTTTTGCAATAAATTCTAATATTTTCATGTTTCTTCAATTCCAAAACAAAGGGAGGAATTATTTCAAAAAATGTATTAAAAAGAGAATAAAAATAGAATTTTGCACCAACTGGAATTAGATTGTGGCTTTGGAATATGAATCTATTTCATGGATTTTGGACTGCTTTTTCTACTCACACACTCAAGACTCCTTTCCCCACCTCCGCTCAAGAGAACAAGTAGGGACACAACTTGTATCATTTTTTTTTATTATTTAAGAAACTTTTGGTGTAGCAGATGACATAAAATGTGTTAGCTGCCTACTTTCACAGAGATGCACAGTGAACTTCAGTAACATGCTAGGAGCTGAATTAAATTGTCTGCCAAAAGCAAGCAAACTTTTCTAGACAATCTGTTATTTGACACATGGCAACCAGTAAAGCCTGTTGTACCATCTGCTCTGTATAAAGTGCATGGTACATGTTTTATATGGTTTCTAAACTTAGCAATGAGCCAGAGTCAACATTTCTACAGTGGGGATCCCCTATAAGAAATTATATCAACAGTTCTTGCCCTTTTGGCTTCATGTCCAAGCTCCTAGGAAATCCCTTTCCCTATAGACTTCATTGCCCTCCCAGACAGACTCTACACCATCAGAAAAACAAAAAGTGTCTTCAAAGAATATCTTGCTGGTGATCTCATGAGTAACTTTAAGGACTAAGAAAGCACTGAGATCAAACCAGTGGCTCTTCCAAGTTCCGTAACACTAGTAGGATGCAAGCTTTACAGGTCATTTGCATATAGAAATTACATGCTTAAATTTCTCTTACCTAAGATACACTAATTTGGAAAAGTCATGATGTGAGAACTGTATTCCTCTTGTCTGTGCTGTTATTGTCCCCAAAACAAGCTCCAAGCTTTGCCTTAGAAGATGTCCAGCTTTCTGTCGCTGTTCGTTATTGATGAAGACCATCAACATGACAATATTTCTTCTACAGAAGTACGTGCATAAAACCTGCAGAACATACACAGAGCAAACCTGAGGTGTCACAACTACGAAGTATGTCCTACACATACCTTAATCTACTTGCACACTGAAAACCTGACATGTCCAGGAGAAGTTACACTGCTACACACAACAATACAGCAGAGGGTACATTCCCATCGGTGCCAGCTGGGAGACCGGTATCCAGAAATCCCACGCACGACCACAAAAAATCCCAGTGTATAACAACTGTGTCAGAGGAGTCTGATCTGCTGGAGTTCTCAAACATTCAGATATTTTCAAAACCTCCCTATTCAACATTTTCCTGCCAAAAAGGGAACACATCCAGGAAAACTACACACACACACATATCCTAGCTGCCTTGAGTCAAATGGTAAAACGGGGATGGAAAATGAGCTCAGTACTGTGATCTGGACATACTTCTGCATCCCTAAGATACCGGATCAGTCAAAACAGTATCTTCTATCTTTGATTTCTTTTTTATGTTGGAGGAAAGACAAAGGAATTCTTCTTGAATACCACTGAGAAACATTCTAAATTCTTATGCACAGCAGCCAGCTGGAGTTTCCAGATTTTTTTTCACAGCTTTTTTGCATTGCAAATAGGATTGCTCTAGAAGATACTTTCCCACTGACACCCTGGCAGTGCTGAGCAGAGAGGGAAGGAGCAGGCCCTGCAGAAAGGCCACTGTTTGACCACCTGAGCCAGCAGCACAAGGCGGGGCACAAGAGGGAGGAAATTTGGAGGGGGCAGGGAATCAGAATGCCAAAGTACTGAAATATGCAGGGGGAAGAACACACAGAAAAGTCGGATGCTAGGAGGAGGCTGTAAATTGAGTTCAATTCATTTTTTGCATCATTTTAGTTGGTGTGTCTGTAGAATAACCTGATAAAATATGCAGATGTGATTCCATTAAGTCTTCTTTATATTACTATGACACTATCATAACTTAATGTGGTCCAAACTCCCTAAACTCTTTTCTATCACATAACAGAACTGTGTATCAGATGCATTTAAGGTCATGTAATACTGCTTGCAATAGTATTTCTACTAAAAACATCCATGCTAAGACCTACATTGAAACTTGTGGGTTTTGACTATACATTTTATTTTTCCTGGCTTTTGGTCCCTAAGAGCCTGACTAGCACTGTGCTTACAGACTATGAAATATTTATTATGTTCTCTGGCCTGGGGCTGGCAACTGGATTACATGACAGGTAGTCCCGATAGACAACCAAGTCCAGGGACTAACTGGTTCCCATCACCACCCTGGACATTTCACTGAAAGTACATTTTGCAGTTTAGGATCCTGAGAGACAGACTGCCCTGGAATGAAAGTAATGATTGAATGTGACATTTTTTCATTAAAATAACATGCTTCCCCAATAGGGAAAAAAAAAAAAAAAAAAATCGGAGGAAGAGTTAAGAGGGGAAAAGATGAAAAAAGATGGAAAAAATAACATATTTTCATTACATCATAGGCATTTCAGTTCATATTTTTCAACTTTCTACTTACCATCATGTGCACAACTCCACAGACAGGCTCCATTTCCCAAAAGAAACTGAACCACCCAACTGCTGTGGGGCACGTGGTCCCTGCAGCACGAGGATGAGCCCAGCACAGACTGCAGCTCTCCGCAGGAGAAAAAACCTGATGGGCACCTGGAATACAGGTGCAGGGGACGGTGGGGAGCACCTGAACTTCAATTCCCCAGTTTTTCATGTTGCGGACACAAATTTAAATAGTGCCCATCCAAGCATCCAGTCACTGTTCTACAGATAAAATTAATCAGTTTTTGACCTCTCCTCTTTTCTCCTCTAATATTTACCCGTTACTTCATGTTATTTTATTGGTTTCTTGCCAAGGTGCGTGAAATTTCTTAAGTACAGACTGAGAAAGGGCATTTACGAATAAAATCCTTAGAAGCTTTAATTTTAGCCAATGGTTGGAACAGAATGGCTTAGGGCACTCCAGTTGTAATGAAATGTCATGAGGGAAAAGGCTAAGAAATCTGGAGGTGTTAAAAGGAAAAGTCGATGGCAAGGGTGCCCTGATGTGTTATTCAAAGCAAAATGTGAAAGAAATAGAGGTAGTTTGTTGGGTTTTGGTTTGGTTTTTGTTTTTGGTTGGTTGGTTGGTTGGTTGGCTGGTTGGGTTTTTTTTTTTGTTTTTTTTTTTTTTCATTGTTGTTTTGTTTTGTTTTTTAAGTTCTAGAAAGTACAGCTGGTTGATGGAGAAGACAGGACACCAGGGATGTTCGACTCTACAGTCCTGCTCTCTTGCTTTCATTCTCTCTAGTCTCAAAACTCATCTCTCCGTATCTTACTCTTCGTGTTCTGCTCACCTTGTCACAATCCTAGAAAATTTCAAATAGCACAGGAAACTCATCTATCTCCACAGCAAACAGAAAGGCTCATAGTCACTATTTTGTTTCCTCCAAAGTAACCTTTCATCTATCCTTTATTATAATATTAATTGACTAGAAAAAAAAATTCCTTATGTGAAAAAACTGACAATGGCTTTTATTCTTTGGGGAAATTTTAGCAGCCTGTAAAAGAAAGAACAGCAAGATCCCTTCACACAGACACAAACACACACATACACTTTGAGCTCACAGAGAGGAAGAATTTGAATTAGCTGCTTTCATGGTTTGAAAGCCTAATTGCTGAAGAGACTTTTGGAAGCAACTGTGGGGATGTCTCCCTGCAAGAAGCAACACAATAGAAACCACGGGAAAAGAATAAGAGAAGGGATAAAAATGAGAGGAAAGAAAAGGAGAGGTACTAAGAACAGGCACCACTGCAGAGGAGTATAGGTGCTGTTCCCACCCATCAAGCGCACTTGAGGGCTGCCAGCATTTTCCACGTGGAGTTTAATTGCCCTGCTCCCAGAGAGGCACACCAGCAAGGTCCCGGCAAGAGGGGCTGTAGCCACATGAGAGTGGGAGAAAAACAGCCCCGTAATCCTACAGGAGGTAGCTCCTGAGGAGAAGGGGTTTTGACAGAAGGGACAGATCTCCAGTTTGCTCTCCCAGGCTTTACAGCCAGCATCTGATCTCAGTCCCTTCATCCCACTCATGAAAGCTTTTGTGCATCCGCTGCTTCCCTTAAAGTCATCATGGTAATGCCGCATCTTCCACCTGCACTTCTCTCCACAGACGCCTGCCACTCTGCCTAGGGAAAGACATCTCTCTGTTTACCAGGCCGCGTATTCTGGAAAGACAGGACAGCAGAAAGATGACAGCAAGCAGGAGCTAGAAACACTTCAGATCCATTCCATATCCCAGCTGTTGCCTTGCGCAAAGCCGCCGTAACATATCCTTATCTTTGAGACAGAAGCTCCTGTAGGGTTCTTCTCTGGCTCAGAAATTCTTGGACCACTTACTGGTTATTTAAAAGATAAACAGGCTGCATATTCTTCCTTGGAAACAGAGTACGACACAGTCAGTGACTTCCTTTGAAAACTGAACAGGAGCCGCAGTTAAACTTGCATACCTAGCTACGGAGCATAACACAAACAACCCAATACCTTAACAGTCCACCATGCTTCTTCATCACAAAAGGCTGACGCTCTAGGATTTAAACATGAAAATTGTGAACTTCATTACAGGTCAATGAATGGGCTTGCACAGAGAGAGCTTACTTTATTCAAAATATCATAGTTAATTTGTCAGTTTAAACAGCAAGCAGCTTACACTCGTGAGAGAAAAGGGAAACAGGTTATCTCAATGTAAGGCAAAAGTAACATCTAAGAACAGTATACATATTTCTTTTTCACCAGTCTCATACTGTTGGATATTCTTTTTAGCTCTGTCACTTTAGATTTATTATTAAAACTATGTCAAGTCTGTGACTACATCTCAAATGTAAACAGTGCACTTGTATATTCTACACGAATTTATGGAGTGGGTGCCTGTATGATGGATTAGTAAAATTCTGTAGCATGTTTTAGGAATCAAACACAGGCTCTTTATCAAAGTGTTCAGAGACATCAAGCGTGTTATAAATTGGTTTGTAGCATAAAAAACAGATTAAAACATTCTTGGTCTCGCTATATTTTTGATTCAAGCACACTAGTTGTCATTTTTTTCCCTGCACGTTTTGAAAAGAATAACTTGTTCGTAACAGGTTTAGGCAAGCTGGTGTTGGGAAAGGTATATGACCCTTTCTTTTATTTAATATCAAGAACTAGACTTCTCCTGCCAGGAATCTGCAGAAGTACAAGCACTGGATTTAGTTATGCCAGAGGATTTGACCACAAAACTCAGAACACAGAGAGAAAAATCCAACTGTTTCTTTGAGAAGAAATAATCATATAACCAGGGCAGCACCAGCTAATCCCCCCACCACTGATTTTTTCATAGCCTCTAGGTTATCCATGAAGTCACACCCTGGAAATCACTTCTGCTCACCAGCACCAGGGAAGAGATTCGGGTTGGCTTCCTCAATGGAAAAGGCCACGCTGCTACTGTCTCACCACCAAACGCCCTCCTGCCCCCTTGTCCCTGCTCTCCACAAGCCACATCCTGGTTTTATCTGCTCAATAACAATTTATTCTACAATCCACTTGCCGGGTTACAGCAACAGCAGCAGTGATCTGCGAAGCGAGAACAAGCTTCTCACGTCTCCCACTTGACTGTTTGAAGCCCATTAAGGAATAAAGCAAGATACCTATGGAGACATGCACATGAAAAAAAAACAAGTATTCTTCACTTAAATCCTTCAAAACAGCACACACAACCAACGTGCTAGGGAAGGATGTTGATATTCTTGTAGCTCATTGGCACCACACATTGGATTTTTCCCTGTAAAAACGTAACAAAGTGATTATTGGTGCAAAAAGGATTAGGCTCAGGGCAGTCTGCAGACCTCTTTCCTCCAGCAGCTGCGCAGTATTACCATTTTCAAAGGCAGGACTCGACTTATCAGGATTGCTATCTAAGGATATCTCTCTTAGGCTGTGTGATCCAGAACTAGACACAACAAATTCTCATCTGTAAATGTCAGCACTCACACTAGGCGAGCTCTGGTTTCCTGTTAACACACAGAGATCAGAGATCAAATGTCAGAGTCACTGACAACAGGAAATTAAATCAGTTTAGAGGGAAGCCAAAATAACATCTAAGCATCTTTTTTCTTTTTTTTTTTTTATTAGATCTCAAGCTTTATGCAACACAAATATGTCATAATTTTAAGGTCAAGGGAGTAGATGGAGGTTTTGAAGGAGTTCTGATTTAAAACCCCCGGAAAGACCGAAGGTAACAGCTAACATAAATTGCAGCTAGCCTTGCTGCATCCAGAGGGAGCTGCTGGGATGCTTGGGGACAGTCAGTGGAAAATTCAGCTGAGACTCTCAGAGGAGTTTGAGAGTCCCCAGCACGAGCGAGCTGTCGGAAGCGGCCGAAGCCGAAGGCTTCACTACTCCCACCCATGATGGGCTCTGCTGCTACCGGCGGCAGAGGAAGCCAGCAGCCGTTCGCCTCTCACCTGACAGAAAGCACGGTCGTGCTGGTCACTCCTACAACCTGCCTGACGCAGGAATGGGCATTCCCACTACTCAGACATTATGTTAGTGCTGCAACAGGCTGGAACTGGCCACAGTTTGGCATTAGCTGAGCATGGAAATAAGGGCAAGTCTCCACAGCCGTGCAGGAGACCCCTCTGTTACTGCACAGTCCCATACGACCACATTATTTTGGGTCCCTTTTCCATATTCAAGCAGGCAAATGGTGAAACTTTTATCAAACACTTGATGAGTGCAGATTTCATTTCAGCTGCCTATTTGTTTGGTACCCAATCCACATCCTCTTGTGTGACAACAACTAGCCACCTCTATAAAGAAGGTTTTGAATTCGAGCTTCAAGCATGTCTGCAATCTTCCCAGAGATGCCATGGTGGGTCTTTCACCTCTCTAGTCTCCAGAGTGAATCAGAAGCAGAGAAGTGGGGAGGTTGCAATAACAGCTTCCAAATTCATCTCCAGAAGGAAAGAATCCACAGTCCAGAATAAACACACGTTGCACTTCTTTGCAGCATTAGTGGGGCTCAGAGAGAATGAGAGACAGGGTTGGGGCAAGAGCTACAGCCACAGATTTACACAGTACACTGGCCCTGGACACACACATACGTACAGTTAGTCAGGCGGTACATGTGAAACCTTGCATGCATACATACTTGCATTAACAATGTTAATAGAGAAAGTGTCAAACACAAGTGCATGCACATAAACAGTGGCGAACAGAGCTGGGAATCCAAAAATCAGATCATGACACGCTAGGAAAGAAAAGAAAAAAAAAAAAAAAAAAGCCCCAGCTCTTGGCCTTGCTCTTCATGTTTCTTTGGTCTTGTACTTGGAATACAAGCAATACAGAATCCGCATTGTAGTCTTTGTATCTCCGTTCACAATATCTGTGGATACACAAGAAAGAGCAAAAGCAGATGGGAAGTATTAGCAGCCCCTGGAATAGAAAGAGACTGCAACTGCCAAAGACAATCTTCCACCTTTTCCCAATTATAATGTGAACTTGGACAATCTAATTGTAACAAGAAGCAACACAGGAACTACAGAACTAGAAAATTATTTATTTATTAAATTAACTTAAGGAAAAGGGACCTTCATTGCACTATCTTGCTGGAAGATAGGATAAATAATGCATAGTAAGAAATAATTCTTCACTAGAAAAGCAGAGCAGATAATTTAATAGGACTTTACAGCTTTAGTTTTTTGTGACTCTTCTATGGCAGGAATCATGTTGGGAATTACCTGACACTTTATTTTTTGGTTGTAATGTTTCCGTCTTGTTTTGCTGCTGTCGGCTGTTTTTTTTTTTTTTTTTTTTCATTTAGTTTTCAGCTTCTCTGTTCTTGGCTAAACAAACTGCTCTTGTATTTAATAATTGCAATGGAAGAGGCTAACTGATTTAGAGGGTTTGCTGTTCTTACAGTAGTGTAAATCACTGGGAGAAAGACTAACAATGAAACACTAGTAAATGAGATCCTTGAACAGTCTAAATAGTGTAGCTGTAAATAAGTACCCCTAAATCATATTAAATTCAATCACTAGCTGAGGATTTTCCCAGTGAAACTAAAGGACTTGCAGATGCTGGCACCAATATTTCTTATACTGATCAACTCTGTATTTGAGGCAGAGCAGAATAGCCAGAGGGAAGGAAAGCAAGCACAGGTTTAACTCCTTTCATACAAAAGGTAGATCCCAGCATGGAGACCTGAGCTCAGGCAGATAACTCTTTTCAAAGCTAACATAAATAGCTTTCCAAACTCCTAGCTCTATGCAATATGGCAAAAAGCCCACACTTCGTCCATGCCCGTCATGCAAAATGCCAACCTCACCAAAGCCTTAGTGGACAAAGAAAACAAAAGAAAAAACAAAGGAAGTCCTAAATTGCATCCCTCCCTCTCCGTGATGCCATGACTACATATGTGCACCCCTTGCGTATGAATAACTAACGGGGGAAGAGATAATGCTTTCTATTTTTAATAAATATTTGATTTCCTCATTCAACAACAAGCTTTTGATGGGGTGAGGTTACGTGCCCTGCACTTTGCAAGGTCAGGCTAAGCAGTCACAGCACCATTCATTAATGTAGCCACGTCACTCATCCCACCAGGAGCCGGTCAAAAATTTTTCTGTGGAGCATCTTTTTAATTGGAAAAATCAGACACATCCAAAGGAAACCTTTCTCTTTTTTTGGTGGTGAGGCAAGAGACAGGAACACGAATGTACATTAACTCAGAGATGAAAGCATTCACTTGTAGATCAACATTTAGCTCCCAGGTCTGAACTAGGCAGAATAGCAACTTAAAACTTATGTATTTCGCAAAACACTGACCCACCAACTCCTCTGGGTTTGAATGGAACAGTCAGTATTTCTGATTTTCAGGACATATTCTGCAAGTTGTCTTCCCATATGACACAAGCTTGTTTTTAACACGCTAAAACTTTTTATTAGATAGGAAAATAGCTTTCCCTCTAGCTCAGCTGCTGTAATTTCCCTAGGAGCTGCCACTGTTTTAAATCTTTAGCAAATACTGACTTATTAAACAGTTTAAGTTTAGTGTAAAGTTACTAAACTTATAACAATCCAACATTTTTAGTATAGAAATAAAAATTGTTCAAAACAATTTTCAACTTTATTGCTATTCATTCTGAATGAGGAGCTATGGGGCAGCCATTAAATTAAATGTGTCAGTGCCACACTGCAGAGCCTACTTTCTTCAATTACCCTAACTTTTGCTAAGCCAGGATATTAGCGATTCTATTCCAGACAAGTTTGCATGTCATGACTCACCTTCAGAGTTCACAGAAAAATTCAGAAGACCTCCATCTGTCAGCAAGTCCAATGCAAGGTTAACGTTGTGAAGCTGTTGATGAGAGAGATCAATATAACAGAAAAAATTTTTCAGCCAGCAGTGCAGTGGGCAGGAGGTTTAAAAAAGTATTTCTCTAGCAGCTGAAGATACTGATTCATAAATATGTACTCATATTCATTTCCTTAGTTTTGATGGAGTGCTCTTCAGAATTTCTACCAATTATCATATAAAATCAGATGTAAAATCCATCTCCAGCAAAACGTATCCCATGAGGTGGGCAGAAGAATCCATTTATTTAAAAATAGACATTGCATGTGAGTCTTGTGTTAATGGATGTTTCCATGGGGAAAACAGGCTAGATTCCTAACTGGATCTAATAGATGCATGGAAATATATTTTTTTATTATTATTATTATTTTAAACAATTCCCTTATGTTTACCACATTTAGAACAAACAAAAAATATGTAAGGAAAATGTTCTCTATACTTAATTCAGAATTACACAGATTGGAAATCTTCCAATCAGCTATATTTGTGAGCTAGAAAATTATGCTTTAGCGTATAAAGATGTCTATACACAATAACAGCAGTGATGATGTCCTTAATACTCCTCATGAGAAATTAAGCACGTGTCTATGAATGAAGGCTGGGGGTTTTTACTGACTTTTCCTCACTTGTTTTTCTCTCCATTCCCCACATAAAAGCAGCATCACACACATATGCAGTAATCCTGAATTATTTTTTTAAAGCAATATAACATCCCACTACTAGCTTCTTACAGCTCAAGGGCACCTGTTTACTTGGCTGGTAATTAGCCAGCTCCCTTCCTCTAATGAGGTAACAAGACCTGAACGAAGTTCAGATTGTCTCTTCATACATTCCTTAGGCTACCGAGCAATTTATCCTTCGGGAGGCACGTTGTAACTGCTGCCATGCTGTTCCCCGTTATCTTCTGGCAGTAAGTGCAGGGGTCCCCCACGCATAAGCCAAGCAAAAACTGTGTGCTCTGAAGTGAAGCGACAGATTTACGTTTTACCTGTTTCTCTGATTTATGAGTAACTGAGACTGACAGTCTAGATTTGTGCTTGTTTTGTTCCTCTGATAGCCAGCAGACAGGGGAGCTTTAGCTCATACAGATCTACACAATTTTCTGATCACAATGAATAAAACAAACGTTTCCATAATGAACCAGCATAGGTAAAAGGGACACATTTCCCTCTCTGTAATGCATAGGAGATTTACAAGGAACAAAACCATGCAGATTTCAAAATAAATCTTCACACAGAACTACTGATAATTATCAAAGAAAAGCCACCTAGAAAAATAAGTTGTTTCAATCCAGCTACTCTTCCAGACTCAAAAGACCTGGACAATTCTCTAGGATTTACAATCGGACAGAGGTCAGGACATTTGGGGTATGTCAGCTCCGGGCCTGTTTTGGCAAAAGTACCAAGTTCACACAGTTTTGATAAGCACAGGAGCCCTCCTTCATCATCATCTTCATCTCCTGACTATACAAAGTTCACCCCTAATTTCAACCTGACCTATTCTGTGATTATATTCTTCATCTCAGAATACACAGTTTTCTATACACATGAGCACCCAGGGCTGGACGTCCTTTACAGTTATTTGTAAACCTCACTTTTTGGTAATAAACCCCAGAAACCTGCAACAAACCTACCCATGTGCAGTGTTGTCTTCTCACACCCGCAGGTGGATCACCTCCCAGATTTCTGCTTCTGCTTTCCTCACCCCTCATGTCCCTCTAACATGGGCTCTTGCCCTATTTCTTGTTTTATTTCCTCCTCAGTATCATTGTTTCCATCCCTATTTCCCCCCCTGCCTGCCTTAAGATTCACAAAGCGTACGTACCAACTTTGAACCACAAGCTTTCAGCTTGAATGAAAGTTGATGCACCGCACCGATCATAACAGTGCCTGTGGTTGTCACCATTTTTATAATACAAATGACGTGTTTTAAATCTCAGCAAAGGTTACGTTTTCATACTCTACTGTACCAATTAACGTCTAAAATGACAGGGAGTTAGAAAGCACAGGGGAACTGAAAGACGTATTTTATGTACAAATGACAGTTGAACTATGGTCGCTCAATATTTTTAGTTATATTGTCATCTCACTTTTCATCTTGTAATGACCACCAGAGGAGAAACAAATGGTAAATACCACTTTGGCAAACTGTCCAACAATAAGTCCAGTACTTGGAAGTAACTTTGCTAAAATGAAATTACTAGGGATAGAGGTTTGTACTGAACCAGTACCCAACCCCATTATACTCTTCTCTGAGGGCAGTGATCGGCACGTGCATGCAGGGTAAAAACTAGAAAGTCTGACCTCTGATTTGTACCTGTAGCGTAGGAGTATCTAATTTCTTGAAAAAGATCTATGAGGCTTGAACAGGGGTGATCCAAAAAGAAAAAGGTTGGTTATGTAATTTTAACTAAAACAAAATATTAACTGACTTTCTTTGAATAAAGTTAATGGAAATGTTAAAAATTTAATTTCCAAGTCAATGAATTGGAGCAAGCAATTTTGAAAGCCGAATGGAGGAGGAGAAAGGGAAGAAAAACAACTTAAAGGAAATGCTCTGATTTTGTTTGATTAAACCCTTCAAAATATATTTTCCCCATTATGGATCATAGATTTAAAAAAAAAAAAAAAAAAAAAAAAATCAGAGTTTTCCTAATACCTTAAACAGTCATCTACTGGCAGCAATGAATTTTTGATAAAATTTGGAACTAGGTCTCAGAAAACGGTGATTTTAAATGTTTTGATGAAAAGCTCCACAGGAATATTTACCAATTAATACATGACATCTGTGAATTTTCATTACAAACAAATATTGCTCAAGGAGATTAACTGCGGTGAGGTCAGGAATCAGACAAAAGCCTTGGCTGTACAGGGAAGCTGTAATACAAACCATGCTAGAGGAGAGTCCCTTCTCAGGCAGCTCTCAAGCAAAAAGGATCTGACACGCTTCACCTTCAGAGATCTAACTGAATATAAACCGGGAAAAATAGCTACAGTTTCAAGATTTTCAGAGCTATTCAGTGACCCAAATGAAAAATCCCTACCCACACCAGAGAGAATTTGAAAATATCTCAAATATCTCAAAATATACCAACATCCTACATCCGTGGAGGAGGCATTTACACAGGCAGCCCAGCACACACTACCTTCTGGCTGATGCCACCTTTTTCTTTCAAAGCACTGATGAAATCTGCCTGGTAGAGGTTGAAAAAGGTGTCAAGCAAGACTGGCTGGGCAGGTTACAGCTCCCAGCCTTGGGTGAAGAAAAGATGTAAATTCTCAAGAGCTTCCTAAGCACAGAGGGGGCCTTCAAAGTGTTCTGGTCATGCTGTGATCAAGGTATATTTTTAGGACAGCGTAAGGAAACCAGTTCTGCTATGCAAGAGGTGCCATTCACTTAAAAATGTTGTTTGCAGGACAGACTTGTAGGATATAGCATACCAATTCCCCACCACGCAGAGCCTCTGTATTTTACCTGAAGGCTTCAGAAGCATGTATCGGCCACATAAATGCAAGTAACAATAGCTTGCCTCTCATGAGATAATTAATTTTGAAGAAAACATTGACCTGTTCCAGGGTATTTTACCAGCACCGAGTGCCTGCATTTGTACTGTCCCATACCACTATCCTGCAAACACTCTGCATGCATATGACTTCGTATGCAGCAGCAGTTAAAGCAAGAGGCAGAGCTCTTTAGTGACATACAGAAGCATTAAATACACAAGATGTTTGAAGCCTCAAGCTCTAATTAAATAACAACCTACCATCTCTGTGGTGCTGGCTGGAGTCAGGAAGAAATCCCTTAAATTCAGAAAGTAACCCTCCAGCTGTCCAATCAACAGAAGTAAGATAACTCCATCTGCAAACTAGATGAAAAATGATCTGCATATTATTTATTATGTTGGCTTTTAGTAAATGACTCCGATAAATGCCATTCTAGCGATAACGGAATTTAAATGGTACTCTGGCAAGCAGACAGCCTAATGACTCATCTTCCTCAACCTCTTCTACAGTGAACTTCGTATTTAGTTACATAAGGCTCCCAAGTTCATATCAGTGAAAATACGACCTTGTAAAAGGCCAGCTATTAAAATAAAATATTCCAGATGCGAAGAGACTGCAGACGACCACAAGCGACAAACACATAACTATGAACAAAAGAAAACTGTGTCTAATCCCTGAGACTGACGACAGAGCACTTGCAAAACTTCCTTTCTGACAGCTGCCCACCAGGAAAACCCAGAAGAGCACCGGAGCACGGCTCCACTTTCCATCGGCGCGGCACAAACGGCGGGCACTGCGACGGCACCGAGGTTTTGAGTGGCTGGAGCAAAGCAAGGGCTGAGGGCCGACTTCTGCGCCCGTGTCTGCAGAAGCAGGGAATGAAAAATCCACGAGGGACGTCCCCGAGCTCACCTGCCACCGGCGGATGCCGCAGCTCCCCGGCCCCACGCGAGGGTCCCCCCCCGGGGGCAGGGGGGGAGGGCAGCGGAGGTGCGGTTGTGCCTCTCTCCACCTGCGCCCGGGGAGGGCATCGCAAGGTGCCTAAGGAGCACTTCTCTTGCAATTTCATGGACTCTAAAGAAGCTTGATGCTGGGAGGATGGGACTTTGAAATGTAATGAAAATCAGGCCTTCCTACCGTGAAGCAAATCCAGCATTAAAAATCACTAAGCACCAGCAATAAACTTGGCTTTCAGTTTAATTGTCAGAACACCCTCATTTCCATCCTGACAGAAAGACTATCCATAGGAACTGGGCAAACTCTGAAAATTACTCCCTATAGCACTACAAGGGCAGCATTCAATACAAAGCAATATTTTTTCATTACTTATTAGCTTCAGAAACTTCAGAGACTTAAGCTTGATACCTTAACCTGAAGCTAGAAATAATTGTTATGTTGCCAAGTTTCAAATTACTACAACAAAAAAAGAGGAATCCTAATGGTGAGAGGAAACACTCAAGTGGCTGACAAAACATGGTTAACATGCGGCTTAGAGCAGGCTACCTGAGATTCGATGTCTTTCACATTTAATCCTAATTTTCCAACATGCTGGTTGACAAATTGCAAAAATACCTGAAGAAAACAGAAGGGGAAGAGAGGATGAAAGAAAAGAGAACTTTTTTCAGTGAAGTCAAGAATTATGCTTTACCTTACAAATTTTGATGTCTATTAAAAAAATAAATTACCTTTTTTACAGCATCCAGTTTATCTGGAGCACGGCTAAATAATTCATCAAAGGCGTCATCTTCTGTATCAAAACAACATTAGTTGGTATTATTTGGAATAACTGTCAGATCAGAGGTTTAGAATGGCTCCAGAAGGAGAAAGGTGTTTACACCTTATGAGCCAAGGAGGAAGAAAAGTCATAGGGAGACGGAGAAAAATCCTGCTTTTGTATTTATCAGAGGACAGGGTGACAGGTTTCCCTTCAGCCTGACTACATCAGAGAAAACAATTTACTTCATTCAGCTCTGCAATTTTCGCCTGCAGAGGTTCTCAAGATTTGTGCTGCCACCAGTCTGAGCAATGGCTAAGTTTCGCATCTCTACAGTTTATCTCTTTTCAGTTATGTTGTTTTAACCCTGAACCTCTGGGATAAAATATTGTAAGCAGGGAAGAAGAGCTATACATTTTACTGCTCTTCCCCAACAGAAACGTCAGTTACATCAAATTTGCAGAAAAACAGCCCCCTTCCTTCAAAAAAACCCACAAACTAGGTATCAGGTTTGGAGACATTGCTCTTCCTCTGAAAATTCACGGACTTCGAAAATGACCAGTGCTGCCATCCAGTTCAAAGGCAGGCACCAAGCCTGTGCCAGCAGTGCTGCCCAGGGGACTAGCACGAGTTTAAAGATTTCCAAGGAAATGAGATTCATTGAAGTCCCTGTGAATGCCCACCCTCACCTCTATTTTCTGCCCAGGTTTAGCAAGAGCAGGACACATCTCCTCATGGTGACTCAGCCACATGATTGCTCTGGTTCAAGCATGAACAAAGCATTTGAAACACCCTTGAAAATCAAGGGCACTCTGGCAGCATAATTAAATGGAGAACCAGCCTCTATGGTACAGGAAAGCAAAGGCAGCTTTGCTTAAGGAAGATTCCTCCCAAAAGCCAGTGACAGAGAAGCCTCTGCTGCGAAAGGGTTTCCTCAGGTTTCTCCATTCTGTCAGGGGGTTGCTGCAGGAGCAATGTCAGGGAATAAGTGGATCCATCAAACAAATCACCGAGCAACAGTCTGAAACCTGCAACAGTCTCACAAACTAGAGAGCCCTCTTCTGGAGCCACGCTTTGGGATTTCTCTCTTTGTTAAGCAAGCTGTGTCAAAAATAGAGTATTTTGAAGAGTGAATTGCAGATTTCTCTTCCCAGCAGAATCAGCTCACTGGAAGAAACACCTAATTACAGGGTCTTTTTTTTTTTTTTTTTTTTTTCCACAATTTCAGCCCACGCTAGAGACCACTCAGTGGAATAATGGTTAAATATGTATTAAATAATATAGTTTGTACCTCTGCAAAGGATGAAAAATCTAACACAAAGGGCACAGCAGAGAATTAAAATGGTTGCTTTGATTCACTGGAGATGTAACATGCTCCGTCACAGCAAGGAAGAGCAGCTCACACTGAAGCCCGAGCAGTGCCCAGACCTTCTGCAGGCTCCGTGCATGTGGACATTTTTCACCCCATGTGTTTCACAGCCCTCAAAAGCCCTAAGGGTGAAATCTTGGGGGCAATGGTTTTACTAAGCTGGCATCCATAATCAGGCACCATCAGATTTCAAAATCTCATTATAAACTGCAGAAACTGGTAGCACTAAGAAGCACAATTCTCAAGCCACTATGCTCATAAATAGTTCCAATAGTGAATGATGTCAGTGTGTAAATCCAAGACATACTTTGCCCCCAGCCAGGTCTTCTCAGTTGGGCCATCAACCCACTGTTTCATTTCTTGTCTCACATCCCATCCTGTAGTCCACAGACAAAGTGATCACCCAATTTCTAAACTACCTTGTGTTGATATGAACACATATTAACAGAAGACATTTGGAGAAACACACTATGAGAAATCCATGAATCTCCATGAACTCTAGTGAGAGTATACTGATTTCACCATGAGGTAAAAATGGATCAGAATGTGGTATATAATAGCACATAATGCTGAAACACTGAACTTGGCAATGCCAGTACTTACTTGACCGCTCTTCCAAATGCTCTCTAAAAGTGCAATAAAAAGCAAGAATTAGAAAAAGCATTCAGCAGAACTAATCTCATTCACAAGCAAAGCTTATCTGAGCCATCAGCTATCTTGTAAAGCAGGAGACAGGGTATAAAGCCCCATTAACTTTATGTCAGAGTAACTTTCCAACAGACATTTTTAAGTACACTGTATGTCTGTATAGGCTCTTGGAATACATGAGATTTTAACTGGCCCACAGACCAATGAACATTTATTTTATAAGCATAATTCCCAATATCCTCTTCCAATAAGCTGCTCATGGTATTACAGTTTAAAGATGTTCTAGCATATAAAATATGACAGTAGGAAAATCTGTTTCTAATTCTGGGAATGATGACCATATTTTCTCAGTATATAAATGGTATCCTACTACTTAACTCCTTTAATAATGACAGTACCTCACAAACATGGCAAGCTCAAACCTTTCTTCCACAGCAAAATAAGAAAAGAACTGCCTCCCTTCTCTGTATGTAGTGACACAATAGCAATAAATTAAAAGTAGATTTAAACCACTATGGCTTTAGAAAATTTCCAGTTTAGTCTGGGACAGGTAAATGTACAGGATTCAATTTTTATTATTATATCCCATGGCAATGACAAATATTACGCCTCAGAAACAGTCATACACATTATTTTAGAGAAGTTTATATAAAGAGTAAAAAAGGGTATTATACCATAATATCAAATCTGAAGAGGGGAAAAAAAGGAAAGAAATCAGAGAAACAGTTCGCATGCATATTCATGTCTGGGTTTACGCCTTTTGTCATCATCATGATCCCAGCTATTTTTTGCAAAGGGGAAAACACCCACAATATTTTCTTTCTGATTGACAGTGTAAAAACCAGATCTATCCCCTCTTACTTGTTTTCTGTGATATATTCCACCGCATTTGCTGTCCTTAATCCTCTGGAGGTGTTCTGTTGAAAAGACAATAAATATTTTTAGATTTGTTACACAAAAAAAAATTTCCATATTAACGAGGCACTCATGACCTGTTTTCTGCCTTAAATGATTATCAGAGGGCATTTATTCAAGAAGTTCAGTACAATTAGTACAGGTACTTTGAGAAGTTGCTGCTCCCTTCTCTCTTCACTCTTCAACCAGAAGTTACCTACTTCCCCATCAGAGGAAACCAGAGGAGAAGTATGTGGTCCCTCGGTTGGTGAAGTTCAGACGTTGGCATGTTCACCTGGAGACTTGATGAATGCGTCAAGCTGCTTTGGACAGGCAACAATTCCTTTGCACACCTCACTGCATTAAGAATTCTTCAGTTTTACAACACTGAAGGTGATCACTTCTGCCTTATAATAAACTCATGCCGTGGCCTGCCACCCACTGAAGTATCCCACCTGCAGAGGACTTGAGTTTGGTGGGTTGCTTAGAATTAGACTGGCAATTTGTACTCTTTCTGAAGCCACCTGGGATCTTTGCTTATGTCCTTGTATCTTTGCTCCTCTATATAAATCTAAGTATTCCACAGAACATCAAAACAAACTGTGCTTCAACCCAACTGACAGCCTGAAGAGATAGATGATGGCATGCCTGCTGCTTTATTCAGGCACCTGGCACACATCTCTTACCACAGAAAAGCCTTTGGTGTTTGCCGCTCTCCTCTTTCAGGCAGTGAAAAACATTCTCTGTTTATAGATTGAACTAACTCCTTTGGCTCAGCTCATCACTGAAGCAGAGCGCACCCAGACCCACCAGGGCAAAGGCAGGTTCTTCCTGCATTCATGTGGTCACAGGAAGGCCAGACCTTCGCTGCTCTCTTTTGGGCTTCCTCAATGCTTCCCCCTTCCTGCCCTCGACCCCTCCTCTGAGCCGTGCCTTCATGGGCTTTCCTCACTTTTGACCTAATGATTACCATTCCCATCCAGGGTGTTGACTTCTGCTCTGGGGAATCAGCTCGCTACTACAACCCCATTATCTTTGTTGCTGCTCCTCCCTCTCCCAGGTTTAACAGCCCTTTCTGATGCCGCGGTTTCACAGATAATCCTTCCCAACACCTGTGCAACTGAGGCACTCATACCCCAAATGGCACTAGATGCAGCTCTGCTCTCCTCCGAGTCTGGGCTGTCAGTGCAGGAGCATGGGCAGCAATGCACAATTTGGACTCCCATCAGATACCAGAGAGACCGCTCCTTTCTCCAAAGCGCTCAGCTGGGACCGGGCCACAATGGCTACCTCTGCAGAACCAAGCACCAGGAGAAGCTGTCCCTCCAGGACACTTTTAAACCTCCTAAAGTGGCACCCATAGCTCAAGGGCATGCTTCATTTCAGTTCCAGTTATGATCCTCCAAGGAGGGAAGAGCGCTAGGTGATGCCATACTGACTGTGTGTGCTGGGCTCCCAACACCACGGAACTGCAAACGCTCTGTTAAAACTGTAACACTGTGGTGTTAATTTTTGCAATTATATACCAAATTGTGGGATATGTGATGTTCTCCTGAAGTCCTAGAGTTGACTTTAAGAAACGAAATAGAGGAAGAAACCATGTAGGCCTCAGCTTGTAGAGAAAAATACCAAAATGTGACCCCAATGGAAACCACGTAAAAACTCCCTTTCCCTAAAGGAATAAAACCTCAGCATTAACTAGTGTCATGATTTGCAAGTGCTGGCTTCTATTTTAAAACACTTGAGAGACAGTAACAGCAGAATATCTTTTTCTTCTTTACAGAGGTCAAGAGCTGTTTTCAGTTTGGACCATTCCTATTTTTTTGATCAAGGATTTAAAAGAGCACAGTGTTTCTACCCTTTTAAAGATACAGTATCTGAACTGAGAACAAAATGATAGCCTAGTCCAGCAAACTCAGAAATTAAAAGGCACAGTTTACAGAAAATACAATTATCTCTTTCACACATTTCTCCCTAATTCTAAGCAAACTAGCTTTGTGCAAGGTCTCTAGGATCTACTGTAGCAAATATTGAAATTATATTTACCTCAATGGTGATTGTTTCCACTTGAATATTTGGAGGCATAGCCAGGTTGGGTTCAAAGTGCTTTGCTATTGCAACCAGAAGATGCAGTGTGCTCAGCAAGTCCTTTGTCAAGATAGCTATTTTGTGTAAAGAAAGAAAACAGTGTTTACTGGGCAAAACAAGTAAACCTCACTCTAATATAATAAATAATACCTGTGCAGAGGAACTCAAAGTATTGGATGGCCATAACACAAGTGGGATATCAGACTGGGGCTTACATAGTATCACAATTCATCAATAACACACCTTAAAAGTCCTTTTTGTGAGACATGCGCACCGATGCTGAGGGCTGTTAAGAAGTCCACAAGCCATACACTTGGAGGATGAATGACCCAGTCAGAGTTAGATATTGTCTCACTTCTGATTCCACTAGTAATTGAAAACAGGTTCCCTAATTACTGTTCTGCCACCCCTTCGCCTCATAGCAGCTTTATAGCAAAGGAAGCCCCATTGATGGATAACCTTTTCTAATTTCACTTCTGCACCTACATTCCACACTCCATTTCAGCTGACTTTCTTCCAGTTGCAAACACTTAGCCACAGCTTCCAGAATCACAGAGAGTTTCTGTCGCTGTTTTTTTTCTGTTAATGCGATCTTGTCAACGTCCAGCTTGAGAGATCCTAGGTTTTCTTTGACAGAGAATCCATAGGAAGCAGAAGGATGTATTTTAGCACCACCATAAGAAAAAAAAATAAAAATAAATCAGAAATATAAAATGACAGCAAAGCACACAAAGTCTTATTTTAAATGTTCAATACTGCTTAATAGCTTCCACAGACCCACATCCCACAGCTGTACGCCTTGTTAAACTCCTACACCCTCTGAAATTCTCAGTAAAATCAATGAAGCTCTGCAAAAGGGAGAGGACTCAAGTAACTCCTTGCAGCACCATTCCCCAACCCTAGCACTCCACATTCCTCCTCTTCCTAGTGGAAGCTACAGGAATCCAACAAGTGAATCCTTCCTGTAGATAGTGTACAAAGGCAATATCAACTCACATATATATATATAGAAGAAATCCCAGCTCATTACTCAGGCAAGTAAACTATGAAAATAAGCCAACCCTGTTCACGCTGCTGCCCTCAGTCTTGGTGAAAAGGAGATATGATCTAAATGACATCCCCAAAGAGGGTGAGAGGGAAAATAAAAATGAAGTAGGGACAGGAGAGATGGAGAAATTGAAAGAAAGAACAGGCTGTTCCAAGAGGTCACATCTTTACACAAGCACCTTGTATAGTAGAGAGCTTCTTAGATTTTCACCAGTTCCAGTCCAGTGCTTTAGACCTAGCACTTTTTTTTTTTTTTTTTTTTTTTTTTTTTTTTTTTTTAAAGCAAGAAAACATAGAAACCATAGTGCTGATTCCATCCAATGTTTCTGGTAGCATCACAAGTCACCTTTTTGCTCCTGGCTTATGAAGCCTTCCTTCCCTTCAGAGGCACTGTAATTTCACACTTCAAAGTTAACTACTTTATTATGTTACCTAGCAGATAAAAAGACTTTCTTAGAAGAAAAGCATTATATAAAAACAATAGTGGATCATCAGGCACTTGTTCAGAATTGCAGTTATCACAGACTGTTGACAGTACAGCGCTTTCTCCATTAGTGAGAAGCAAGACTCCAGATCACTGCTATTGCAATTCGTGATGTTTATTCTCTGATCTGGAAGTTCCTCCGTGATGTGTTTACAAGCTAAACTCAAAGCAGCAGCTTACCCAAAAGATGATGAAGTACCAGCCCATCATACAGATCTTCTTCCAGACTTTTAACTACTATGTGTTCCTCTTTCAGAGTTGTGTTAATCCAGTCAATCAGTAACTGTGGAGGAAAACAAAGCAGCTGGCAATTATATTCTTGTTGCTCAGACTGCATAGCACTCAGTGCAATGTTGTGTTTCACCCTTCTCTTTAGTGCTTTATCTCACACCTTGGTTTGCTTTCAACCTCCACTTCCTTTGTGCTATTTGGTTGTTTTTTTAAAGGGAAGTATCAGTTAGTTCTCCTTAATTTTCAAGTGAGACACATCTCACAAGTTACATTCCTATGAATTTTGTAGAAATAGTTAAACAGGTGGATAGGCAGACCCTATTTCCACTTCCATCAGTGAAAAGGCTACAGAGTACACTTCCCATCCCCTGCCTTCATTAGACATCACAGAATTCACACAAATTCAACTGTCAGATACGAGTTTGTAAGAGAAGAGGCTTCACTCATTTTGCTGGTTGTTTCTTGTAGTCATCCATGTTACTAGCACTCTGCCCTTTCCTCTCCTATTTTCATTTTATTTGCTGCAATTTTGTACTAATCTGTCTCAAAATACCTTGGGGGGGGGGGCAGGGGCAGAAAAAGGCATTTTGTTTATTTTGCTTTCTTACATGGCAGTCCTCCCATCGCCCTTTCCGGTATCCTTCCTGCCTTTGCAAGGGGAAGCTGCTCAGGAAGCCAAGGGCTGGCTACAACTGGAAAGGAACCACATTCCCAGTTACATCCCTTGGCCCTGCAGCCCCTTCCTTGAGCACTGTGCTCCTACACAAAAGACCAAAGTTGCTCCTCAGCACTTGCCCAAACATGTGTTTTATCCACATATGTTGATAGAAAGGGAAGATGACCTGCTGAAACAGAACTGAAAAGCAGTAGCCCCAGCTGGATATTAACAGGCACCTCTCAAATGAGGAATGGATATTGCTACAAGTGAGAGTCTGGAGTTTATTATGTGGATAATAGTCACTTGCTGTAACAGAGGAGAAAATACATAGCAGATCCCTGTAAGTTAGCCAACATTAACCAAAATTTTAAAAACAACTTGAAAAAAAAATATATATATCTCTGAGATGCTTGAAACCGCACAAGAAACAAATATGCCTGGCTTCACTTGCCTGAACTGAGAATCTGTCAAAGTGTCAAAGTGTTTGTAATATACTTGTTCAGCTACGAAGTAAAAAGAATTTTCTAGGGCAGCAAGCTGTGCTCCTCAGCTAATGCTTGCAGGTTAAGACCTGGCGATGCTTCAGATGTGTGAGGGATAGAGCAGTACCCCAAATGTAACGGTACAACCAAACAAAATTCAGAAAGGCAAAAAGTGCTGTTGAGTACAGATCTATCAAGGTCCCTTGTTTGCTATCTTGGCTCTTAGCAGCCACATCCACAGCCTGCAGCTCACACAACTCTGCTTTCAGGCCCATTGTTAGGGCCCCACTCAGATGCAGAGCAGAGCAGTCTCTCCCAACGTGAGTAAGTAGGGAAAGGAGAAGTTTGCTATTGGCTTCCAAATGTAACCATCTTCTATTTTACATGCAGTTTGTTATTTATAGCAACTGCAGTGAGCCATTTCACATTCCTTAGTTCCCCAAAGCCACCTCAAAATTAAAATGCAGAGGAACAGTCTTTCTCCCAAGCGAGTTTCTTTGCTTCCCTTATTCTTCCCTTGAAGATATCTCCCTGTCCCCCTACCTCCATCCCAATCTCTTCTCTAGAGGAGACACGAACTCTTTAGACAATCAGTGGCATCGGTGGGCACCCAGAGGACTGCCTCCCTTGGGACCCAATTTCCACCACCTCATCATCCAAAGAAAAGAAATTAGACAGTGAAGAACATCGTTTCAGCAGTCTCTGATGGGAAATGGATTAAGCACTGAAGCTTACAGAAATCTTCATAAACTGAGGAAAGCTCTTCATTTCTGGCAGACTGGAAAGAACAAATTCAATGTCTCTGTAGACAACATAATTGCATTTTGCAGCATCACCTTTCAGATTTTCTCTTTTGTATAAAAACATTGTGAGAGCCTGACACAAAAATTAAATCTTTTTGATCAAATGTGCACAAAGGTTTAAGAAAACGTAATATAGAAAAGCACGTATTTATGGATTTATGAATGCCATATAATACACACATCAGCACAGAGCCTAAGCTGGTTTTTGTAATATTTATAACAATTTCAGTATCTCCATAATGCAAGAAGTGCTGGTCTCATAAGAGACATGCCACTTTTCTTACAGGAAATTTCAGTATGCCAGCCTTCCCCTGGGCTGTGCCATTAGAGAAACACCGTGATTGAATGCACAGGGGAGATTTTCAAAATTACTTGGAAATAAAATACTTTCCCGTGAAATAGGATTCATCCTTCACAGTTACCTCAAGCAGACAATGTACCATACAACAACTTGAAAGCTCTTCTCCTGAATTCTTGATGACTTGCATACCCTTCATCCCTTCTCCCTCTGCTTTATGCTATCCTTGCCAGGCTGCATCGCAGCTGCCCCTGGGGGGAGAAGACGGGACAGAAGGCTGTTGCAAATGAGCACAGCAATCCTAAAACTTGTTATCATGGGATCAGGGCAGCAAACCTGCACATATCTGAACGCCTCTTTTTAGTCACAGCAAATGCTGAACGTGGGTTTGCTTTCAGTCATGGTCCACTCTCCCAGCTGGATTCTCATTGCTATAACACTATCATGACAAATGAAGCCGAGAATTCAGTCTCAGTGACAATTTGTAATTGTCTCAAAACACGTCGTAATTTTCCATGCCTTCCCTCTTCACCATAGAGTAGCAACTGGGTACTTCTGGTGTGGCCCAGCCACACATCCCAAGCTAGGAGAGGTATCCTATAAGAAGAAATGCAGTTTTCAAACCTACACTCCACTTTACACAGAGCGGTGACCGCTCTTGGGTGACGCAGGCATTTGAAGCTTGGTCCTGTGCGGCCCCAGCCATCCTAGCACTGTTCTTAAGTAAAAGCTCTGGTTTACTTGTGAGGAGCCCAAGTGCCAAAAGCAGAGCTCGTCCCCATCTGTAGAGATCAGAGGACCGGGGCCAAAGAGCTGGGTAATCTACAGGGCTGAGCATTAACAAAACAGGTTAAAACAACTTGAGGTGAGGGTTAAACAATATACTAAAAGAAATGGTACCAGTTTTAATTCTTCCAACTTGGGATTGTTTCTTGAGGTCGGTTTTATGAGTTTCTTCTTCTCGCCTATAAAAGGAAGCAAACAAGATCCATTACAATTATCACATATGACTAATGCAAGTTTGATGTAAAATCTGCTATCAGTTTAATATTACACAATATCACTAATTGCCATATGTAGAAACACTGTAATTTTTTATTTTAACTGATTCCTTATGAGCAAGAAAATGGTATATCTGACTATTCAGACTGTTGTTGGAAATTATGCTTCAATGTGATTCAAATCCATAAGATCTAAATGGACAATTCTGGAGAGAGGAAGACAAACTTGGTCAGATCCTTATATGTGAAATTTAAATTTTAGTTAAAGAACCACTTAGAATTTGTGTTGCTTCTTCATAATCTACCCCTAGAGAGTCAGAAGCCAAATTACACACTCAGAACTTACTCACTGCTGATAAAACCATGGGACCACTGCTGAAAAATATACAATTAATTTGTACTACACATTTTCTGCTTGGTTCTTCAGGTCATTCTTTGGACCTCTTTCTGTCCGGGTTGACAAAGTACATACCTTGAGCAATGACATTCTCAGCTAGGAATTGATTAAGTGCAGCGGGCTGTGTAAACACATTTAAAAAGTCTGGATCCATTGTCTTTTCTCACTTCTGGAAAACTGATAAAAAACACAGCGGGGAAAAGGAACATGAGCAGAGGCATGTAAAGATCAAAATTAGTGCTAAGAAGAAAATAAACAAACCGAAGGCTTTTTTTCAGTTACTATTTCATGACTGGTGGATTACTTTAAAAAAAAAAATCTGAGAATTTATTTTAATGTGTATAAAGAAAAAGAAGTTAAAAAGCTTTCATTTTTTCTGTTAATTATAAAAACGTAGGAAAAAAACCCTGAAGTACTAAAACTTGCCCTAATTTAATCTAATTGTTTCACCTGAATTAGATTATTAAAATCTTATTTCAACTGAAATGAAAAAGCTTTCAGTTTGTAGGAAGCAATGGATATCTGCTATAAAAATCACCAATACTTAAGGAGTATTAAATCAAGAATATAGTAGTTAAATCACTGAGACAGGCTTATAAATATCATCAGATTCCTTTATTAGACCAGCTGGTATAACTGTGGTAAAACAGTGACATGTTTCTGGGTAGACAATCCCATCTTCATGTTAGATTAAATCGCATGGCTTCTCAAAGATTTTTTTATTTCAAACACAGATTGGAGAACAACTTTCCTTCCCAGCCCAGGTGTCCTCAAATGAAAGCTGAATGACAATACACAGTACAGTGATGAAAATACTTTGTCAACAAACACAAAACTATGGTCGAGGTTTTCCAAAACAGCTAGGAGTCATGTTGGGAGGACAGAAGTCGTCAGGGAAAGCAATGGGGTTGTCAGAGTTGGGTTGAGAGTCTGCATAGCCATCTGTATGTGCTGTCCTACTAAACACCCAGCTCAAGCTCATTTCTATCACCAGCAACTACCTACAAATAAGAGGCTGGCAATGATATGTCACACTCTTCTAGAAGCAGTGACTCAAACCACAGTGCAAGCAGAGAGGAGTCTGATTTTATAGCCATGGGTATGTAACGCTGTGCCATGCTGCCCATACAGACAACAGAAAAGATAGAGCCAGGCTCCACAAGCAGCATACATGGTAGGAAATGTTCAAAGTGCTATCTTTTGCAATCTTAATGTTCATGTAGACAATTTTCAGTCAAGTCCATATGACTACAAAAACTAGGATGCTTTAGCTTGGCAGACCAAAACTCAAAAAAAAAAAGTTACAGATGGTGGAATTTTAAAAGTCTCTTTTACAAACTATATTATAAAATCATAGAATCATTTATGTTGGAAAAGACCTTTGAGATCATCGAGTCCAACAGAAAAAGTAACACTGCCAAGTCCACCACTAAACCATGTCCCTAAGCATCACGACTACACATATTTTAAATATGTCCAGCAATGGTGAGTCAACCACTTCCCTGGGCAGCCTGTTCCAATGCTTGACGACCCTTTCAGTGAAGAAATTTTTCCTAATATCCCATCTAAACCTCCCCTGGTGCAACTGGAGGACATTTCCTCTTGTCCTATCACTTGTTACTCAGGAAAAGAGACCAACACTGACCTCACTACAACCTCCTCTCAGGTAGCTGTAGAGAGCTACAAGGTCTACCCTGAGCCTCCTTTTCTCCAGACTAAACAGCCCCAGTTCCCTCGGCCGCTCCTCAGAGGAATTGTGCTCTAGACCCTTCACCAGCTATATTGTTCCTCTCTGGACACACTCCGGCACCTCAATGTCTTTGTTGCAGTGAGGGGCCCAAAACTGAACACAGTATTCAAGGTGTGGCCTCACCAGTGCCGAGTACAGGGGGACGATCACTCCCCTAGTCCTGCTGGCCACACTATTCCTGGTACAAGCCAGGATGCTGTTGGCCTTCTTGGCCACCTGGGCACACTGATGGCTCATATTCAGCTGTCTGCCAACCAACACCCCCAGGTCCTTCCCACCAGGCAGCTTTCCAGCTGCTCTTCCCCAAGCCTGTAGCACTGCATGGGGTTGTTGTGACCCAAGTGCAGGACCTGGCACTTGGCCTTGTTGAAGATCGTACAATTGGCCTCAGCCTGTCCAGACCCCTTTGCAGAACCTTTCTGCTCTCAAGCAGATCAACACTCCCACCCAGCTTGGTGTCTTCTGCAAACTTACTGAGGGTGCACTCAATCCTCTCATCCAGATCACTGATAAAGATATTAAACAGAACTGGCCCCAATACTGAGCCCTGGGGAACACCAACTGGATTTAACTCCACTTACCACCACCCTTAGGGCCTGGCCATCTAGCCATGCAAGAAGATGGCTCTTTATTAAAGCAAATGTATATTGATTTAAGTGCAAGAAATCAGTTATATACTGCAACTATATGAAGAAATGGTTGTCTGCAGAGGTGAAAGGAACTTCAGAAGGATCATGGCTCTGAGCCCTGGGCAATCATGGCTTGTGTCATGGCAGCATCTGTACTAGCATGTGTAAGAGATCTTACCTTTCCTGACAGTCCTAAAATCTGAGAGCCAGAGCAGAGGAGACAACAATATGATGACCAGAAAGGCTTTTTACACTCCTCTGAATCATCAAATCCCTGGACGCAGGGAACCCGGTGGGATGGACTGCTGCCCTGCTCTCTAATTGGGAGCACTACCTGCCTCTGGATGGGAAATGCTCTCCCTTGTCTCTGAAGTTCAGTGCTGCAGGGCCACTGTTGGAGATGGGAAGTTGACTGTTCTTTTTTTTAACAGAAAGTGAGATGCCCCATGTGAGAGGTTCACGTAGGAGAGAACCCCTACCGCCTACCCGAGATGTCCGTATTAGGAACCCTGTCCCTCAAGGCTCCCTATGTAGTAAGTGCCCATGGCACCTTTAAAGAACAATCCAGAGCATTTAGATGAGGGTCTAGCCCTGTCTTGCATTTTTTCAGTTGCCAACTCCATTCTGCAACCAAAGGGACAGCCGCAGCTGCTACCACGGGTGCCTGAAGTGAGGTGCTGTGATGACCCAGTGCTATGAGCACAGTGGACAAAGGCAGTTGCTGCAAATGATGTTGCACAATGCTCACAGAAGATCTCCAAAGTGACATTTCTCTCCTTGATAGCTTTATACGCCAAACAGCATGGTGCTGCTCTGCAGGCTCTCTCATAGTTACTAAAGTCTCCAGTCAAAGTGCATTATGAACATGTATTTTAACACTGTTTTTGCCAAGCCAAGAATATTGCTATAAGACAGTGACTGGATGCTTTTGCACATCAGTCTGGTAAAACAAATTAGGTACAAAATTCCCATCAAACCACTATGGGAAAGGGTCATGAGAGAATTAGTTTCATTATGGTGGCTACAAAACTGAACGCTGTCTCTGAAAAGGTGCTTGGTAAAATAAGATGGGAGAAATTGAGTCATTTAGTGCCTGAGGAACAAGTGAACTATCCAAGATAAGACAGCCCAGATGAAATTAACTGAGAGAGAAAAGTTATTAATACAGAGCAACCTAAGGACAACTTACTTTTAAATTAGGTTTCTGACAGCTGTTATGCCTTGGGAAGTCCTGCTCATAAGTCTTCTGTAATCATCTGTGTAAACTACAACTTACACTAAACTCAGCTTTTCTGCAATACTCAACTTGTATATCTCTTACTTCCTTTGACTATTTAGACATCAAAGCGATGTGTACTGCCTGCCGCACCCTTGGCCTCTGTTTGGCTGAGAAACTCAAACATCAGAAGCCACCCTTTAAAATTTGGAAGTCTGGAAGAAAAGGCCTGAAATTAAGAATTTGCAATAGCATAAATCAATATCCTCTAAGGCCTCAGTTCTGTATTTCCTACTGAAGAGTGTTAAAATTGCTATACTGGGTAAGATTAGCTTGCCTAGTATCCAGTCCCTTACAGCACCCAAAAGCAGAAGCTTGGCGGGGGAGGAACATAAACAGAGCAAGACTATACAGATACTTCCCTAAAACACTTCAACAGCCTCCAGCTCAGCCTTCCTAAACCAAAACTAAGGTCCTGGTAATTAAAAGTTGTCAATAAACTTATTTCCCATGAAGTTCCCCTTCACCTCTGGAACACATGTATCACCCACCATTCAGCAGTGGGGAGCAGACCATGCCTTTACCTTGTGTGAAGCACCAGCTCCTGTTGCTTGCGCCCACCAGCCAGCTCCCCCCAAATCTCCCCACTACACACAGTGCAAAGGAGACCAACTGATTCACATTCTTCACGACACTGTGTTCCTACTCCATGCTACTACTGTGTTACTATCCTACACTCTCAACAGTCATCTCTTTCCGAAACCAAGGAAGCACAGCCTACAACTTAGTCATCCTTCACAGGCAAACTACTCCGTAGCACCTCGGATCGTCCTGGTGGCCCCTTCTCTGAGCTCTCTCCAGCACTATCACAGCCTTTTCGAAGTGCTAGGAACCAGACCTGCCCAGGTTTAGAGAGGTGCACTGCCACGTTCACGATGTGGTTTGCCATTCCTCTCCTCCTGATTCCTAATGCTGTTTGCTTTTTTGATCACTGCTGTGCACAGAGCTGACACTTTAATGGAACTATCTATTATATCCCCAAGATTCTATTCCTAAATAGCAACACACCACTTAGAGCCCATCATTTATCTGTAGAGCTAGTGTTGTTTATTCCCCCATGTGTTTCCCCTCACATTTATTGCCATTGATTTCCCACAGCCATTTCAGAGACTGAGAACTGCAGTTCCTTAGCATTTAATAGACTCATTGGTTATTACTAATAATTAGCATTCACGAGCAGTCCTTCATGTGGCAAGCTGCATTTCTGTGAGGCTTGGTCCTAGACAGCAGCCTTTCAAAGAATAACATACTGCAGAAACAACATAAAATGGAACATAGCTGGGTTTGGACACCTTCTTGCATTTAGCTGTTTAATGAGAAATAGGAAGGGATGCAAGACTTGGTTCTCACATGCAGGCTTCCATGTTTGCTGCAACCAGCCTCTGCAGCCCATCGTTCAAATTCGCTATTCAGAGCTGTGACTGACATTCTGTTTTATCCAGCCTCCATCCTCCTGCACATGTTATTTATCAGTACTTGGAGAATAGATCATTGTAGGAGACAACTGCTTGAATACTGATTGTGAAGGCATTCCATTATGGCATTTTTATATAAAATTGAGGTTTAATTATTGACTATTCATATGAAATGGCATCATTTAGTCCTTCATTCTCTAAGAATATCATAGATGTACAAGCTTGTCTGTTTTAAAGTCAAGAGGTGGTTTATTTCTCCTGTTCCACCTACTGAGGCAGCCAACAAGTGAATTTTTCTTAGGCCAAGAGCTAGACTATTGCACAACATTTGCAATGCCACAACTACTGGTAAAACAACTAGTTCTCTAATTAGGTCAGATCAGCTCACTTTTCTTCCATGAGTCTTCACACAGTCTGGCTCCCAGATATCCCTGATATATGATATAAAGCATTAATGAGCTATCAGCGGTCTCTGACATACAAACTAGTTGTATAATATACACAACGCACTTACCGATGTTACTGAAACGTTTCAACTGTCTTATTTCCTGTTTGAAAGGACAAAAGCCCTACTCTGCATTAGCTGAAATGTATTTCCTAGGAACAGTTGTCCAAATAGATCACACAAAGCAGGGAATAAAAACTAAGTAGGAATGTTAATGTTAATAGCAATGCTTCTGCCTCCTGAAAACTAGAACTAAAATACAAAAAAAAAAAGAGACTATGTATGGTGTGACCAGTTTAAAATTTAGTTTTACTTCCTTGGTTAGTACCAGACCTTTCAAGAGCCATTTTTGCTCGTTAGCATCAGAAGAGATGACATCTCAGCAAGAACAACCCACCTGGACACAGAAAGTCTTACAGTTAAAATAACTTTTAAAAAGCACCCAAAGAGGTTCCTTTTCCCAAACTTACTATTCTCTCCTTCGGTAATTGTCCAGCAGCTCTTCCAAGATCTTCTCACAGCAGGTGTGATGAAATTTATGGGGAGAGGGGACTGAGCCCCAGGCTCGGAGCGTCCTGCGCCAAAGCTGCAGCCTCCCATGCGGGGCAGCGCGACGCACGCGGCGTGTGCGAGGGAAGTTGTGCCGCGCGGTACCGACTGCTCTCAAAAACGAAACCACAGTCGTATCCGGAACTTAATTGTCTATGTGCCTGGTCCCTGCTGGAGACTAAGATAAACAGAAACACAAATGCAGGAAACGTGCAACCCCGCAACTCCTGAAATACCAGAAAGTGTTAGAAAGATATGATCATTCCTCCATGGTACTGCATGGCACGACTGCTCGTCTGCACCTGGGGTGACTCACAGTGCACTTTTTCTCTGCATATAGTAATAAAACAGCCAGCAACAGACAAAACCATCATGCTACATTACACCTTTTCCTCATGGTGCTTCGAGCATTTTATAAGGTAGATTAGCACAACTCTACCTACCTGGTAGAAGAAGAAACCTAGGCAGAAGATTAACTCATTTGTCCTTAGAGAGCTAGTTAGCCACACCAGGACCCAAAGCATTCAACTCCTCTAGGCCATGCTGCTGCTCTTCCTTTCCTTTTTCATCACTGATTAAAGAGGGAAAGCTCCCTACATCAATCAATTTCCCAGGACATTTCCTTCAGGTAGCAGTTACATTTGTTAACACTTCCAGAAAGCAAAAGCAACTCTGCAGTCCTTCATGAAAACCCCAAATGAGACAGCCAGCCACACTAATTAAGCTCGTCTGGTTTAACGCTGTTAATGGACTGACTCCTGTATTTCACTCCATGCCACAGACAAAACCGGATAGTTTGGCATGAGATAAATGGGATAAAGGGAAGGGGGTTGAAAACAGATTTCCAGCTGCCATGAACTCTTAGCAACTGAGAACCTAACCCAAAATCTTTAATCAAAGTGCAAACTTAACTGTATTGACTAAGGAGATAACAAGGACAACACATCAAATTAGCAGAGACCCAAAGTATCTTTTACCTATGTAGAAGTGCACGCCACAGCCTAGAAATGTAGTAAATGACAAGCAAATGGAGGGCATAGTTGGGGATGCTACTGGGAACTTTGGACAAACCCAGTTTCATATCAGTGGGCAGAGGGAATAGGAATAATTAAACTTTGGGAAATGCATCTGTAATTACTACGTCTATCCCTACTTCAACTGGCAACTCAAAAGACTTACTTCTTGAAAGCTTCATTCACAATACAGCGTGCCAGTGCTAAAAGAATAAGTTTAAAACACATGTGACACAAGAATCTTTTTTCCTCCAAAAACTGATGTTGCCATCACTGCATGAAGAATCCAGTCTTCTGTAGAAGACCACTAGTAAATTCTGTATCAGAGCTGCATTTGATTTCATGCCCATTTCCCCCCCACCCCAAGTCTTTCTGCATATTCCCAAAGCACACCTCAAGCACATACACCCACACACACACCTGGCCCTCACATAAAAATAGCCACTGAAGAACAATTCAAGGAATCAACAGCATTCCCACCAATGACACGTTCTGATAATGCGTCTTCCTGCTTCTCCACACGGTCTTTGCTTTATTGGAGAGCCAATCCATACTTTCTCCATATCAAAGGGAAGCACGCAGGCATTTTCAATGTCACTCCAGACTTACTTGGGCTTCCCAAGTGCTCTGTAGACACATACAGGACCAGCTTCAGCATGCCAGGCTTCCCTCCTGTGCCGCTGAAGAACTGGGCCCTAAGACTTCTAACAGTATCAAAGAGTGTAATTCAGTTACTTTTCTCTTGCGGAAGGAAAAATGTAAACAATTTCATCTGGTCTGGTAGCTGAGCAATAGTTTGTTTTTGTTTTTTTTTTTTTAATAAAAAAAAAAAAAAAAAAAAAAAGGCAGCTAATGAAACCTAACCTACAGAAGAGCGCATTTGTGTCAACCCATACAATCTCATCACCTGTACCAGGGCCAGAAACCTGAGGTCGTTGCTTTGCTAGGTCTGCTTAGATCATCATATATCTAGGATCCTTGATGAAGGCAGCAGCTAAAGCTTACATTTCAAAAGTTCTTCCCACAGACTTGTTCATTTAGCAAAAAAAAGATGTAGAAAAACCAAGTGATCATTATTTATTTATTCGAATAAATAGTACAACTGTCACAAACCATGCATAACACTCCTGCTGTGATTCCTAGCAAACAGAGCATTGCATTGTAACTTGCTTACAGTACACATCTCTTGTCACAAAGCTGGAAGTCTCCAGCATTTGACAAGTTCAGAATTTTATCTGCAAGGCTGGTTTTTAGTAGTTAGAAATCCAGAGTAAACACTGTTAAAAACAGTAGAAAAGACTCCTAAAAATACATTAATACTGAAAGCACTGGGGTGTGGGGAAGAGGGGTAAGAAATCCTATAAGGTTTAAACTGATTTTAAAAAATCTGCCACTGTTCGTTTTTCATCGTGAAAAACAGGATGCAGCCAAGGAGTGTCTGGGATTTTTCTGTGGTAATATAGCTCACTGAAACTGAGCATGTCAAGCACATGTACCTAAAAGGCAAGCGGTATGGACTGGAAACGACAGACATTCATTAAGGACTTATAAATGTGGAAGCTTTAATGCTGCAGAGCATTCAGCATTCCAGATGAACTCAAATGGATTCAGATCTACCCCACTGTCACCCAAGGAACATATCTAAAACTCCAGTAACACAAAGTGTTAATGAATAACATTTTTAACACTGATTTATCTTTTTGAGAGGAAAAGTAGTATCATGCATATGTAACAGAAAGGCATGACAAAAGCAGGTGTTTAGAGAAGCTTTACCTACATTGCTCTTTCTGGAAACTGGACTGATTGGGATGAAGCTCTCATTCATAAATACACCCTGCTCACAATCTGGTTAACAGCATCTACAGGAAGAGTGACCTGGCTAGACAGCAAGGAGCCAAGGAATGAAAAATGTATCTTCCCCATGCAACATTTACCAACAGACTTAAACACGTAACAAAACAGGGTATGACACCTGCCCCCAACCTGTTCAGGCATCAAGCCTGAAATCCTGACTGACAGGGATATTAATGTAAGGAATGATAAAAGGGACACATACCCTCAAGTTTGTACAGGAGGGACTCAGGTTTCTGCAGAGTGACCAAAACCACGTAATTGAACACAACAGAAATTCTTCTAAAATTTGGTGGTATGTTCATACCTGCTCACGTGCAATGAAGATGCCAGCTGTATAATCCCATCTCAGGAACAGCCATTCCCCCTCCCAAAGCCAGACTGCTTTTATCAATCTTCTCTTGTTATTTTCTGTTTGCTTTTGACATTAATATTGCTTGTAATTTCAAAAACTAGATGCTCTAGCGGTCTTTCCCAGCAACTCAGAGAATATAAACAGCATTGGCACTTCCACATCACCTGAAGGTAGGTGGGTGGAATGACAGCTCTTTAGCAGACTTGTTTCCCACAAGTAACACTGCATTAAACTAAATGTTTGAGAGACCTTTCAGTTCAATCACCTTCCAGCCTCATGATACCCCTATTTCACAGCACAAAAGTGAGACCAATTTCACTAACTTGCCAGGAGAGCTGACCCACCAGGCCTCAGTGCCTCTGCAAGTCTCCTTTGTAATAACTGCTAGCATGATGATAGAGTCTAATGGCCCCATCAGAAATCCAAATGCAACTGTCCTAGGTTCTGTATAAACAGCGAGAGGTCAGCTCCCTCCTAAAGTACAGGCCAGCAATGATTCCCCACAGAACCTTATAAAGTAGGTGAAATCTGAAATTTTGATGGAAAGAAAGGGCAACTTCCTTCCATCTTTGTTTTGGAGGTGTGAGACGAGGTGACCCAAATGATTCAAATACTAGAACTCAGAACCCAAAAACATGAAACAAAGAAGCCGAAGCCCACTTCTCTCCCTTTGAGATTAAAAATGTTTAAGGAGGGAAGGATTAAAACCCAGTTGTAGAATTATACCATTCAAATAGCACATTTCCTCTTGAACTCGGGTAAATAATGTTTGATGTAAGAAATACATTTTTAGGGAAAGAAGATACCTACACACAACAGGATTCAAGTGAGCCCACGGAGCAGAACAATACTACCTGCTTCCTCTTCGGGGCACTCTGCCTAATGCTTCACACAAAATCATGGCTGTCCATAAAAGAAAAGTTGGTGCTGTGACACATTAAAGTAGTAGTCAAATCTCTCCCCTATGCACTCCAAATAAAAGAATGCTATCATATGCATATTCCACAAATAATTTACAATCCTATTTCCTTCACGCAGCTCTCCTCAGAAACCTACTCAGACGGCTCATGTTCCAGCACAGCCTTCTTGTATGCACTGCTGCACCTAGCACATCACCAGCCAGGAACAGCTCTACAGATGAAACCTGTTAAGTACTATGAGGTAACTAGAGTCTACCAGATAAATTTAGCAATCCTTTTTTAAAAACAGATTCTCACTAAAGTCCGTAACAGCTTAGAAGACTACAGGACTAGGCCAAAGCCCAGCAGAGTACTTCTTGGGATGGCATAGGGCAACTTGAAGAAATTAGTTTGGAGCACAACTGATCACTGAAGAGCTTCCCATCTGAGGGCTAACCATTGGCTTGCACTATGTATACCACATATCTTGCATAACCCAATGCAATCCCTAAGTCCAGGCAAGCTCTTGTTTATACAGGAATTCAGTTTTACTCTTTAGAAAAGAAAATACATAAAGCTGTTTATAAAAGCCTGACCCCCAGAACTGTACAGCTGCCAATAACTCCAACAGGAATGAACTCAGCTACGTGAAATGAAGAGTCAGCCTCTAAACTGCCAAGCTCATTATTCCCTGTGTTTGTTTCAGTAAGGACCAGGGGAAAAATGCATTAATCCAGCCTGTGCCTATTTGACCAGCTCCTGACTGACCTGACTGAAGCTGCGTGCTTAACGGATGACAGTGGCTCTAACAACCAAGCTTCTCCTAGGAAGGAGATGAAATTAAAAAGAGACATCAGAAGATTAGCTGGTCATCCCATTGCAAGACTTATTCTGTGTAAACACTGAATGGAAATAACACTGAGTAGCATGAGGTTAATACAAAAACTGAAGCTTTTGCCATTAGCTTCAGATAGTGCCTGTAATTCCCCTCAGCCCCATCCACCCAACAGAATATACAAAACCTTATTTAACAGAAAAGGCTCGGCTTCTATATAAATTCCAATGCTGATTTTCTATTGCTAACACTTAAGCCTGGAAAATCATCAAATGCCAGTTGCAACCAATGAAAACACAAAAGAAAGTCTACTGTAGAATCAGAGAATCTCCAGCCATGAGGAAGGTCTCATGTTTTCCCTGCTTGTTAAAGTAGTTAGTGGTATATTTCCTTTATCAAAAGAAGATTTGTTGATCATAACAAACAACAGACCCAACAGTATCTTCTGGTAAAAGTGTGAAATATCTACACATAGTGACCTAGAGAATACACATGCATTATTTTTAGTGGGATTGTCATACAAACAGCTACAGACAGACCACATCAACTGTAGAAAGAATACATGAAGTATAGCATAAGGCACAACAGGGGGCGTGCAGAGGGTGTGTTTATTGTAATTTCTGCCTAAGGAGGTTGGAAGGATGAAGACTTCAGCAGCTTCCAGGATCATTCTACGTTCTTGTACTTTGTGAACAGGTTGTATAGAACCCTGAGGGTAGACTTCAGATCCAAGTTGACAACATCTGTGGAAGAAAAGGAGAAATTCTTAGTATGCTTTTTGTTCTCCCTCATTTGTCCTCAAAGGAACAAAAGTCCCAACATCTCTGAGCTGGTGGGATTAGCAATAGAAAACCCCACAGAGTTCTGATCTCCCCAAGTCAAGCTTTTTAAATGCCCCATAGGATGCACTTCAAAGCAACCTTCATGATAATACAGTTACAGCTAACTTCTCTGTGAAACAGAAGAAAGATGATTCTCTTCCTCATCTAAAATTGATTACAGAGAAAGTCTACTTCTGTCTGAGACCTGGAGTAAAGGCTTTGGGAAATAATACCATGGACCTCATTGACCACAGAAAAAGCAAACAAGTAGCCACACACATCACACGAGATACTGAACCTCACACATCCACAATTCTGCAATGATACCGTCCACAAACAAACAGAGTCTGAATTCTCTTGGCAAACTCAAAGCTTTCTATTACCTAATATCCCTTCTTACCATGCCAGGCCAGGGAACAGATCTGGAACAGTTCTCAAAAAAAGCTTTTCTGCTAGCATCTCCCAACCTATTACTATAATAAAATGCCAGGAAATATCACAATGTCATGGTTTAACCCCAGCCAACAACTAAGCACCACACAGCCGTTCACTCATTCCTCGCCCTGCTCAGTGGGATGGTGAAAAGAATTGGGGGGAGGAGGGGGAGAAATATAGAAAAAAAGAGTACACCTCATTGGTTGAGATAAAGACAGTTTAACAGGACAGCAAAGGAAGATAAAAAATAAAATAAATTTTAAAAATAAAATAATAATAATAAAAGAATAAACAAAACAAGTGATGCACAATGCAACTGGTCACCACCCACTGACCACTGCCCAGCACATCCCCAAGCAACAGTAACTGCCCCCTGGTCAACTCCCTCCCCTGTGTATATGCTGAGCACAACATCATATGGTATGGAATATCCCTGTGGTCAGTTGGGGTCAGCTGTCCCGGCTGTGCCCCCTCCCAGCTTCTTGTGCACCCCCAGCCTCTGCTGGCATGGCCCTTTGAGAAGTTGAAAAAACCTTGACTTAGTGTAAGCACTGCTCAGCAACAATATTATTCTCATCCTAAATCCAAAACATATCACTGTACCAGCTACTAGGTAGAAAATTAACTCTATCCCAGCTGAAACCAGGATACACAGACATGGAATCCAGGGACTATGAGGGAAAGCATAGCACAGAGAAGACTGAAGAGGTGGAAAGAATGGTTGGATATAATATGCAAGAAAGGAGGAGGCAGACAGTAAACAATATATATGGAAGCAGAAGTACAGATAATTAAAACATCATTCAAAGAACTAAGAAGACAGTAAACAGTTAACAGACTAAGTACAATTAGTGTGAGGTCCAGGGGAAACACCTACTGCCTGTTTTGAAGAATCATTGCCAGGACCTCTCCACCCTTCCCTCTCACCCCATACTGGATAACACTCTAACCCCTACACTTCATCTGGTATTTTCAGTAACCTCTCAAAATTTTCTTTCTACCCTTTTCCTCTATTATTTTACATATTTATAATTTCATATTTTGCATTTACAAAAGAATCTTCTTCTGCTCCCAAAAAAGGAAAGATCCTAACTGCTGTGAAGTAATACACCCTAAAAAGTGATGTCTTACCTGTATAACTGATATCTGAAACATATCTCCGATTTTTCTAGGTATCGTAAAAAGTTGCTTACTACCATAGCATTTCAGTAAGACAACAGCCAAAATCAGCATTGGTTCCTCTGTACCAAGAGCCAGTTCCCACAGAGATGAATTTAAAATATAAATTTAGCCATAGGAAACAACACTTTGCAACAGCCATGTTCTAAAGCTGGGAAATCGAGGCAAATACCTGGAGAAGAGACAACTACCAGCAGATTTGACCCACTGACACTGGCACTTCTGTTTGCTAAACAATTAAACAAAATAGTGCTGGCACTATAAAAAAGCCAAAAAACCTGTCCCAAACAGTCAGCTCTGCAGTGCTCAGAGATCTGTAGTGTGTATCTGTTCTATTCCTCCCAAATGGTTTTCTTTCCCCCATGCCACCCATTTTTAGCTTCCCACTGAAACCAGAATAGGTCTTCTCCCTGAGCCACTGTAACCTCTGTCTCAGCTGGCACAGCACAAAGTGGTGTGATCAAGTCTTGCAGGGTTCAGTTCCTGCCTCTGGCTGCCATCAGTTCAGACGCAAGAACTGCCTGTGCTGTAAACCAAGATCAAGGTGCCAGCAGAGAAACAGAAGTCTGGAGGGTAGAGCAGAAACATCGCTGGAAGCTAGAAGCAGAGCTAGGAAACCAGGGCACACCCCAAGGAGGGAGCTGCTGGGAGGGAGAGGCAGCGAAGTGCCAGAGCAGGAGCTAAAGGCACCAGAAAGAGCTTGAGGAGGAGCTGGAAGGGGGGCCCAGAGCTGCAGCACTGTGCTGGGCAGGGACTGTCCGTCTGCCCTCGTGGAAGCATTTAGGGCTGACTCCTGCTGATCTCCACCAGCAGCTTGAGCCAGGTACCTGCTGCTGATCACCACTGGTGATTACCCTGAGATACGAGAAGTATGGCAGGCCCCATCACTAAACGAAAGAATGGATCCAGCTCTTCTATTTGGCAGTGTAATGACATGCAAATTTAGAGTCAGAAGAAACTACTGTGGTTGCACAGTCTGATCTCATGTACAACACAGTCATTAGAGAACTTTACCTTGGAATTCTTGTATTAAGCTTACGAACCAACCTGTGGCTCAATTAAAATATAAGCTTAACATCGCATGGGTTTGGTTTTTTTTTTTAAATCTTCCAGTGGTAGAAATTCCAACTCCATCCCTTGACAATTCAGACCAATGGTTAATTACCTTCACTGTTGCAAAAGTTATACTGTAATTCTAGTTTGACATTTTCCTAACCTTCAGACCTTGTTATGCCTTTGTTTGCTGCATTAAGGAGTATGGCAGTGTGAGATGCATCCTCCCTGTGTGGGCGATTACAGTGTTCCTTATTGATCAGTGTCTAACAGGCATTCCCAGGAATAAGAATATTCTCAGCCTCCCATTTCTTATTTTAAGATGAAGCATGCACAGGCATAACATTACCAACAACGACTAATAAAAAGTTAACTGGAAGGGGACATAAATCATAAGAATAGTTTAAAATATTCCATTAATTTAAAACTTTCACACTCCATAATAACCCTGTTAGAGGCTAATAAATTAATCCACTACAACATACTTTTGCTGCAGTAACTCAGCATCAAGTTCTGGTGCTGGCTCAATCTACTGAATTGGGCTGAAAGAACAGAGAAAAGGAGCTGCCCTGTATGCTCCTATTTTTGTTTATCATCTGCACAAAGACACACTGAAATATTAAACAAGACCTCTTTCTTGCGAGTGCTGCAGAAAGCATAGGCTAGCAAAATAAAAATAGTGATGTTCTGCTCTAGACAATGTTTTATGTGAAAAACCTATAACTAATCCAAGAGGCATTTACTACCCAATTCAGGCTAAAGTACATGGATTCACTGCACAGGTTTTCTAACCTATTTAGGAACAAACAGTATGGCATTAACAGAATATACTATATACAAAACTTTTTGCAGAGCATCGGAGTCGATGACAAAATAAATTCTTCTTCTAAGAAACATGTATTACATGACTGTACCAACTGTCAAGATCCTACAGAGGATTTGATGAAACTATGGTGACAAGCAAAGCCTGAGATGTTACTGTCCTCTCCGCAGGGGCAGCTTTTCAAGAGCTACAGTCAGTTTTACAGACAATTCCAGCCACACAGACAGCACATGAGCACACTCACTCCAACAGCTGTGAACTACTGCTGCCAGGAATGGGTACACACACAGAAAAGGAAGGAGTGCACGCAAGAGACCATACATCCTGCAGCAGCAAAAAGGAATGCTGTGAGCTAATATGGCTCTCTAATTTCTATTAATAATTAAATTTTCAATCAATAAAACACTTAAACACATTTTGCTGCTTACTGAATCTATACATCTTGTCCAGAGCAAACAGAAGATCTGCTATAGTTTTCTACCACTCATGATAGGGTAAGGATATAAGATAGCCTTATGGGAAGGTAATCTCCTCTGTCAGATCAACTGATGAAAACAAAACATAAGGACAAGCTTCTGATTAAAGAGGTCTTCTACGTTTTTAACAGTTCTCTCTTGAAACAGGCTGATCTAGCATACCTGATCTCCTACTGCAATCTCTAACCCTCCCACTCAAAAAACTGCCATTCCTGACTGTGCATTTGTGTTTCTCCAGTTTCCTTGTCCTCCTCATTTACCCACTGACTCAGTTCTGACACTCAAAACACTCCTTTACTTTTCCAAGTGTCTTGTTTCAGGAGCACTTTTCATCCTCAAATTTAAAAGAATAGCACTGACAGGATACATATGTATTTAATACTGTCTTTTGCATTTTTTCCCCACTATAACCAGCTCCACTATTCATTAATCTATTTACTATCACCACTTTGTCTCATTTTAAGTCAGATTCAACATTTCTTGGGGGATCTTCAATTTTCTTTGTTCTGTGGAAGCCTCTAATGCCTACGTAGTTTGTAACAACAGGAATTAAAGTTGCTCATTTAGCAGTCATAAAGTTTTAATTCCATTTTTTATCCCTAGTGCAAGCCACAAGGCAGACCTCATCATTAATTCATTTCAAGGTTCTGAGACTTTAAAGGAAAAAACTCAGTCTTTACACTTTCCAGTTCTGACTCCCAAGTCCACATAAATCAAGAGAGTTTGCTACTGGTTCTCCTAAAAAACCAAAAACCTTTCAATTATCTCTCACTGAAATCTGATCACAAGAGTCCAAACTAGCACTAACTGTAAGAATTATGAGAATTAGACCATGAAAAGCTTCCTGCTTGGATTGTTGCTGAGAATACTAGCTGAATTTATAATATAGCACTGAACTACTTTTGGATCATTCACTGAAGCTAAATTCATAAACCTCAGTGAATCTATTCCCCACAATAAAAACACGGGTAAGGATATACCCCAGACACAGAAAATGAATCCTCTGGAAAACTGTCAAGGGGCACATTTACAGCTCCACTTTGTGGTACTATTGGTACTGTCTTCGAATGGAGTTGCACTTGAAATGCATCTGCTATTATGTCTTTATATACAGTTTAATGCCACATGGCATGTCCATACCTTCAGGGCGAGCTTTTGGTTTCTTCAGTCCTCCATCTTGCATCAGTTCAAAAGCAAAGGAAACATTATGGACCTGAAAGAAGTGTTTAGAATCTCAAAGTTATATAGGCATTAAAAACCTTTAATCAGTTTTTTAAAATGCTTTATTCTCTCTATACTTGACAAAGAGAACGATAATTCCATTTAAATCAATATTAGACACTTACATGTTTAAGCATGGCAGCAAGTACATATGAGAGACTAAGAAACGAAAGCCTGTGCAGGGCAAATATTAACTTTTTGATACAAAGTAATTTAAGATTTCAAAATTTTTAGTGTAAAAATGTGACCGTGTACCCCATGAACCAGGAAACTCCATTAAACCTCGATTTCAGTCTCTATAGAAGAGGTCAGAGAGCTCCCAGTAACTACAACAGAGCTGCATTTTGTTGTGTTCTTCCTGCCTGTACCCAAGATCAACATTTCCAACTACAAGGCAAGAGATCACTCACTATCCAGGCAACAAGGAATGTAACAGAAGTGACATAACTGAACAGAGATGAGAAAATATATATGGGTGTGTAAGAAAGAATAAATAATGACACCAAATGGCATTCTTTTCAAACAAAATTAGCCTTTTCTTCATTATTATCAGCTGAATATCAAGCAACATCAACGTCACATCATCAAGGAGCCAGACTGCTCATTGCATGACCTTGAGCTAATCCCTGAGTCTCGTGGTGCTCTGGCTTCCTCTACTTGAAAACAGAGATAAAAGTTAAATTAAGTTTCTCTAATGAAGCAAATGCTTCAAAAAAATGCTTGGTGGTGGCAGTTCCTAGACAGATTGTGCAGTGAACTTGCAATACAAGCAAGGCACAACTGTACAGAAAGAGCTCCCTGAACAAGCCACCAAGGATCATAAGTGAATATAGAGGAAAGAATATGGACACAAAGCAAAAATGCAAGGAAGTGGGTGTCTTCCTTTAATTTATCCTTTGAGGAGCAAACATTGTGGCTCAAAGATATCTGCACAGCAGCTTTCTTGTCCACATTTACTGAAATTTAAGCAACGTAATTTGGTTTATGAATTCTGTGCATTTTTGTTACTGCAAATGACAGTTCTGGAGATACATAGCAAGGGGGAGAGATTTAATTAATGATACTCATCTCAAAAACCAGGGAGTAAGGCATACAAAGCTCCCCTATAACAAGGAAGAAAGGCCCCTTTCACTGCCACTTATTGCTCAGGATTTTATTAATCTCTTTTTACCAGATACAGTTCCTCCTCATTCATTGTGAGAAAACCAATCACTTTCAAGTTGAGAAGGTATTTTCCTTTCCCAAAAACACAGAATCTACCTCTCTTTCTTTGATTTACCAATCCCCTTTCCTCAAGGCAGTCTCCACATAAACCCGCAACATTACTTCAGGAATACTGGATAATCTGTATGAATTTAAACCATTAGCAACAAAATCATAACTGAACAGGTGCTGGCTACAACTCACAAAAGTGAAAATACAAGATAATATAATAAAAAAGCAAGAGAAAGCTATAATGGAGAGATTGTATAAGATGCAATAGATGTCCATTTTTCCCAGTGCTCAATTAAGTTCCTGTGCAATATAGAACATTCAGAATGAACTAATCCCCATCCTATCCACAAACATAACAACTAAAGAAGCCCCCCTTACCAGAGCCTGATTTCCCACCTTCAGGAAGCCCCTTTAAGCTCCCAAATTGCAACTAGTCACCTCCTGAGGGAGTCAACAAACCCTATATAACCTATAGAATCAGCAGGCTCAGCATGTTTATTTGGGTCTGTAACTGCACTCATTTGGCGCAGCTCAATTTCCTCTTGCAATGCTGATATGATCCACCCAGGAAAAGCTGGGTTATTCTACTGACGATGAAGTCCCACCCCTCAGAGAGCATGTCCCTTTGCTGAGGGGTGCTTGACAGCAACAATCGGTACTGAAGTCGTTACGAAATCCCCAGCATTTTAAACAGCCCTCGCCTTACAAAGCATTCGATCATTCAACTTCTTCCAATGTTTCCACTCCTGACCTAGCCATCTCCTGCTCCAGCTCAGCCAACACAATACTTCCATCCTCGCCACTGCAGAACCTGGCAGAATAAAAAGCAGGGGGCAGATGTTACTCCAGCACAACCAGGCTCAGAGTATTCTGATACCAGGCACCTAAATACATAGATGTGAGTGCACATCCAGGAACAACTGCAGAAAGAGGAAAACTTTTGGTTATGACAAGAGAATAAGTGTTAAGCACTCTTCTCATCACTAATACTAGAAAGGACACAGGCCAATGGAGCAAGTGTGGGGCTAAGAGTAAGACGCTTATTTCATCTCCTTCCATCTCTAATACCCTGACTATGAGTAAGACAACCTAAGACTGAAAAGAATCCACTCTTCTCCCTCAAAGCTCGTTTTGTCTGACACTCTTAGGCAGCAAGTCATTCACTCCTTATCAAAGAGAATGAAATATCCAAAGAGGACAAGCTAGCACATTCTCTGAAAAGTTAAACTCAGCAACGTTGGCAATGATCCTGCCAGGAACTGGACACAGAATCAGATATCTGTACTCACAAATTGACTTCAGACAGGCAATTTTTTGCATGCTCCTTCCCTGGCAGGATCAGGGCATCCATCTTGGCTTTAGATCAGCTCCAAACCCTGTAAACACTCAACATACAGTTTCTAACCCCATATCAACCAAAGATCTTGGCCCAACCACCTCTTCTACTACAGTATCTCATTTACATATCAAGTAATGATATTTACTCACTTGATTTGTTAGAACATTAAATACTAGTGGGTATTAGGCAACTGATACTAACGAGATTAGGGAGCAGTTTTTACGAATGACATTCTGTGACCTTGGGAAGAACCTCTATCTCCATGTCAATCCCAGTGTATAGTATGCAGCTAAAGCAGAGCTCCCTGTCTCTCGCCTTTTGTCTTTCTTGCCTATTTACATAATACATACTAGAAAAGGCCAGGCATCAGCTCTGCTGTCCAGCACAATAAGGCATCCCTGAACACAAAACCACTCCAGGCAGCACTACAATTTAGTAAATCACTCTGATTATGCAAAGTAGTATGCAGTACAAAGCACTAATTTTCTGAGTTATTCATTCCAGATATTCATAAGCTTTATGTGACGTTTGATACTAATAAGAGAATACCTTTTTTCCTTACCTATGGGGAATTTACTCATTAACTTCACAAGTAACTTTTAGTGGTATTAACTATCATGTGTCACAGTCAGTGTATCTTTGCTACAGCTCCTGAAGAGAAGGTTCAGATTTACTGGACACGAAGAAAAAGGACACAATGACTGGAAAACATCACAGGGCAACAAAACAGAAAGAATGTAACCTGGAGTTTCTACCCACCTTTTGATCAAAACTCTCAGGTGTTAAGTAGAAGTTGTGAAGTGGAACAAAATAGTCTTCGAGGAGACCCATGAGCAAAACCAAGTAAACACCATCTGCAAACTAAATGGAAATACTGGTGACATTTCTATGTGAAAGCATCTGCTTTCAGATAAGCATCCATAAACAAGCAGAACAAAGAATGCCTGGCCCAAATTATATACTTTGATATCTATCACTGTTGTTTGTTAGCACAGGAGTGTGAGATGGTTCAGGAGTCACAGATTGCTCCTTTCAGGCATAGCAAGGAATTGACAGCAATTGTAATGAGCATTTAGGGGTTTGTTTCATCTGCCCCCTGGATTCACCTATACCCTTGCAATCAGCAGTGCAGCTGAGCAAGGTAAATCAAGTCTCTTCTTAAGAGCCTGTTGATATAGATGCTTTCCTGCCAGTTCTCTAAAGAAAAGAAAAAAACCACAGGATACAAGGCTTTCTCCCTACATCTGGTAGCATTATTTCCCCTACTCTCATTTCCTGAGCAAAATGAGGAAGCCCAGCAGCTATTGCTATAGCATTAACCCATGCGAGATTATGTGCAAACAACTATTTAAATTACTTACCTACAGTAAATAGCTCTAAGCAGAAGAAATAAAAGCAATTCACCTGGGAGTTATCTACAATTTATACTCCTAAATTGTGCAGAGTATCTGGTCTGAATAGGCAGGGACTGAAAACAAGATCTTCTTTATATCCAGCCAGTTACCTATTTACTAGAGTACTGAATGCTTTGGAGTAAAGTTAGAGTATGTACGTCCGTTCTTGCTTTTCCTCACATTCATTTTATTTGCTTGAGGAATCTTGCCAACGTCACTACAGTATTTAACAAAGCTTTTTTGATTAAAAAAAAAAAAAAACAAAACCAAAAAACCCACAACTTCCCGGGAAACGTGTTTGCACATTATATACTCCCACTTCTACTACTACAGTACCTGGTCATTCCAATCACAATCCCTCTTAGATTGTGTGCATTGGACATTCAAATCTTTGCCCCTAATCAGAACCTGAAATTAAGTCCCCCCCCGTCACAGGTAAAAAATTGAACTTCACAAAAGAATTTTTTTTTCCAAGTCAAACTATACCATTTACAGCTTCTATTAAATAATATACTAAATAAATTTCAGCAATACTATTCAGTATTCCTACCACAACTACTTACTGGCTAAGAGGGGTAATGTTATGTATTTCTAACAGATTTCTCACTTGTGATCTTGATATCCTCTAACCTTTTTAAAAATAAATTCTGATGTACTTCCAAGACACTAAGCAACAATTTCTTGTGACAGATCAGATCAGTTACCCATTTATTTCAGCAAAGCTATAAAATAGCAGTGAATGACTGGCATTAAATTAAGCCAGGCTCAAATCAATTACCCATACTCCTGGTATAATTCTCTAGATGCCATGCTTTTTTTTTTTTTTTTTTTTTTTTCCCAGGACAGTAAGATAACCATCTCTTCACAGCTCAGTGAATTCTGGAAATAATATCTGCTTCTGCTTAGCCAAGCCCATGCCTGAAAAGTGCTTAATTTTATCTGTAAAGTGAGAACTACACTGAAATTTACACTAAGATTTCCAAGCATATTTGGTACCCAGCTCTGCACTAGAGACAGAGAACTCCTCAGAGCAGCCAGGTGGTGGCTGACAGTTTGTTTAAAGCTGGCGGGGGTGACTAACCTGGATACCACTGGCAGCCAAGCCGTTGCAGTACAGGAGCTCCGAGTTGTTAATCCACACTGCTGAGAAGCAAGCACAGTGCATGCGCTCCCGAGACAGCAGGGTAAAGGGGAGGGTATGAAAGCCTTTGCTGCAACAGCAAAACTGTTTCCAATCCCACTTTGATGTGATCAAAGATAGCACCGGTATCTCTATGATGAACTACACACTGCAGTCCACACTCCTCCCAAGAGCCCCAGGCAGCTATGAGGAACTTACATCAGTTCATCATGAACCTTCACAGCTAGGAAAGACACAACCCACCATCCACCCATAACTACAGCAACTGCTCTGCAGCACTTCACTTTGGCCTCGAGAGACAAGATGCCCTGAAATCCAGCCATGTTCTACAGTCATTAATATGGCCCTACTAAATTTCCAAGAATTTCACCTTAGAATGCAAATCAACAGCAATATGAAGTATTTGTAAACACGAGCAAAGGAAGCAAGCATCAGTGAACGTCATTGCTACCTAAAAGACAGAGCCCTGATCCCATAAATTATCACGGCCAAAAGTAGAGATCCATAACAAGGTTTTATGGAGAGAGGGCCCAAATTTGCAATTTACACAGCTAGACTACACACAAAAAGACAAAGTCTCCTACCTGGGTTTCTAACTCCGTTACTTCCAAATTCAGTTTATTCAAGTGTTTGTTCACAAAGGTGATCAGAGACTATAAAAGAAAACACCAGAACCAGTGGTGTTAGATATTACAGTCAGTGCCTATGTGAAAAGGCTAACATAATCTTTTAAAACATTTTTTTTAAGCTTAATAAACATGCATGTGTGCTACTTGCTTTTGCATCAGTAAGTACATAAAACCAAAAACAACTGTCATAGTCATTTTTGTTGCACCATATGCCAGAAGTCACCAGATGGTGCTATTACATACAGCTTACCAGTTACTTTTCCTAGCACATAAAGCATACTTCAGTGTCGCAGGGAAAAGCTGCGATGACATTAGTTCTTTTGTTAGTTCTTTGTGAAGATGAAGCAAGCAGTAGGTGCATTTACTGTCCACACTAATCTCTTCAGGTTCTTGGAGAACACCCACTGCCTGGGAGCAAGGCATCAGCCGCACTGAGCTAAGACTCTCAAGAGAAGATGCTAACAATACACTGTTCTGCACACACCTCTGTTCCAGGAGTGGTAAGTGCGTATCAATTAGCAAATTGCACTCAGGATGTAACCCAAATCTGGCATTTCTATTCCTGCAGGAAGCAGATGTGCAGGATCTTGCTACTGTCATTCAGATACGTGCTAATGTATTGAAGCACAGAGCTCTGCTGGCCTGCTTACACCACTTCCAAAAGGGACGCAGACTTGGATGTTAGTACTTTTATTGTATGGATAGAGTTAACTTAATTCTCTATCAACTTTAAAAACACTCTTCTAGAAGATGTTTTGGATTGGAAAGATAAAATTTTCCAGAGACTTCAAAGCATATTTCAAATGTATACATCCTCTGTTTCATAAGAAGCAAAGGGACAAATTACAACACTGATCTTTGCATATTACTGTTCTAATAAACAGCTTAACAGCCATGTTGGAACTAGCTGACGGACCACCATGGACTCTCTTCCTTATGTGTTCTCTAAAACTAACAAGAGCTGGCAGAGATCAACAGCTACTTTACCCCTCTGCTCTCCCTAGCACAAAGAGCCATGTCAAGAATATGTCTGGACAAGTGGGCTTTGCGATGATGCTCAGCCTTGAAGGAGAGACCAGAGGACCATATGAATTAGTGTTCAGTAGAAGAGCCCTGAGACAAAAGCAACTCTTCTGTAAAAGTTTGATATTAGCAAACTTATTTATGCGTCAATCACATTTCAGGGTACTGTGGACAATATCCTCCAGTTGTGGAAGATCTTCGTTAGTACAAGAATGAGCTGAAAACCAAACAGCTTCTTGGGGAGACCGAGGCTGAAGATACATGCATGACTGGCTGCTGCTGAGCCCAGCGAAGGGGCCACCACCACCAGCTGCTCGTTAGCCCACACAGAGCCCAGCCCCTCTTCGCTGGAGACAGCACCTGGGACGTGAAAGTGTGTAGGACTGTCCAGTCAGAATGATCCGTGCTGCTGCAAATACTTTGCAGAGCAGCTTTTTCTAACCTGCATCTCTTTGAATCTGGCAGGAGACCTAGAACAGCCTTGGCCAATAACCAGAGTGATGAGACCAGCCAGACCGAAGCCAGTGAAACTAGGTATCACCTGGCTTTGAAACAGTGATACTGGAGGATAAACCCCCTTTTCACTAATACAGAATCCTCTTCTGATATTTTCCAGATCTTTCTGGATATCTTTCCGAAAGTGTAAGAAAAAAAGCAACGTAGAAAATAAAACCTGCATTTTATTTTTTACCTTTTTGACTACGCTGAGTTTGTCTGGTGCATGATCAAAAAGTGTATCAAAGGCATCACGCTCTGGTTTTAGGGGAAAAACAAAAACAAAACAAACAAAACAATCAATACACCTTCAACAGCCAAGTATGGGAAGCAGGTTATGTGTCACAATCTTAAAGGTCTTTTCTCAGAAAGCCACGTAGGAGAGACTCAAGCTAAAGTTGTGTATTTTGGTGTCTAATTAAACACCAGAAGGAACTCCCCTGGAAATTTTAGAGGTAACTGACAATAAACATATCATTCACTGATTTCCCTTTTCTGTCATTCATAACTGGCACACAAAATACAAAGTTGGTAGAAAAATTAAACACAAATTCTAACTATGCCCCAATCCTAACTTAAACAATGAGCCCCTGAAGCAGTACATGGTTTTGGTGCACTACAGCTACAGTGACAGCTATGGCTGCATCCACCACTTGATGTCAAAATCCGATATTCATTTAGTTAATTTAAAATTACTGGTAGTACTCCTGACTTCAGTAAAGCCTGAAACTAAACACGAGTGAAATCTGATTCAGCAGTGTATGAAGAGCAAAGCTTACATACAGTATGAAGTTTAAAATTATGTTTAGAGCTTCAAAGCATTGTATAACAATACCTACTCCAATCTAAAATCTACTAAATCGACTATATTAGTGCAACATTTCACACTGTGGCCGCTTTGGGCTGACCAAAATTTTCCAAACACTGAGTTTTTTGGATGGCAACTGTCATCATCATCTAAAACAAGACAAAAACCAGAAACCTAATCAATTTGAGTTGTATTAAAAAAAAAAAAAAAAAAAAAAAGGGCATAAAAAATGCTGGAAAAATACGTGGGTTTCAAGCTGTTAAAATTTGCAACATAGTTTTTAACAGTTTTTCCAAGTTCAAATTCTTTTTTATATAGAACACATTTTAATAGCTTTCTATTGTTAAATAAACAAACATTATTATCCAAATTCCTTTGGTATCTGAAGATAGGTTATTTAGCTCCTATAGCCCCTTGATATTACTTATTTTCCAAGTACCTTATCAATTATTAATGTAGATATTCTGCAAGAGGTGAAATGGCAGTGTTTGCACTGGGGAACAGAGAAACTAAATGACTTGTTCATCATCAACACAGAGTCCTTTACAGGAGTCCACATCTCTTTGGTATGAAGTAGTGACTTAATGCTACTAACAAAACTAAATGCAAATAGAGAAACCTCTCGGCAACACCAAAAAAACTGGGTTTTGTTTAGAAGACCAGATCTAAGGTTGGTAAAGTCTAAACTCTAAAATCTAGCAAACAAGGAGGAGATAGAATACTCCATGAAAGGAATTAGAGAGGGCTGACTGGTTGCTGAAAGTGGACAGATAAACAGAGCTTTCTCAGACTTCATACCATACACCTTTGCTTCAGTAATTTTCATATGTCATTTGTATATAAATTAAATGGTCACGTTATAAAGAAGGTGTAACTGTTATTGCTGGAGGTTGCAAAGATTTTTACTGGAAAGCCACTAACAACAGTACTAGGAAATATTGCCCTGTGCAGCATTTTCATTATTCATTACTTACAAATGAATACAAATCAACAGAGACCAGTCTAAAGAACATAAGCAGTATACTGGATGATCTGGTTCTACCCATTATGCTCCACATCTGTGTGAAGTAATAAAACCTGTCCCCACAATACATTCCAACCCCACAGAATTGCTCAATCCATTGTCTTAGTCTGCTGAAGGAAAACAGACAAGATTTCTGTGCCTGACATAAATAAAAAAAAAAATTTCAGTCAACTTTGTTACTTACCAAATCTTCCCATCATCATCCTGCAAGTCAGAGCATTGAAAAATACTGGGTTAGTTCATGAATAATCACTTTGAAAAGACAAGACCATGGGCTTAACGGGCCTTTTCCTGCAAGATGCCGAGGGCTAACACCTCCTACTAAGTCAGGAGGGCTGAGCATATCGCAGACCAGACCCAACGTGCTGCAGGAATGTCCCTAGCAGACCACCAGTGATGTCAGGAAGATACATTTGAAATTAATGGAAACACGTAATTATGTCTTATACATAATTATGATTTCTTATGCATGACTGTTTATGATGAAGAGTGAATGAACAAATGTATTTCTGTGCACAGTTTCCACACATACAGTCATCAGACACTACACCACACAGTTCAGAAGGAGCAAAGCTATCTCAGTTTAATCTGTCTTCTCTGAAGAAAGAAAACATACATCATATCTGGATCTTATGTAAATAAAACTGTCACATATGAATTATATACACAGCCAGTGACATCACCAGACATACGCAGATATTTATCAGCTGAGAATCAGGCCCTGATTTGCACAGAGGAATCTGAAAGTATTCAATGAATGTTGGATTCTGCTGATCATTGCATTTTCCATAGCTATACTTATATCTGGGTATGCAACACATTAAACAGTAAACCTCTTTATATTGTGTAATATGAAATAACTTAATAATACATGTATAAACACACATGCAAATCTGTAAATATCTTTCTTGCTAAAAAATGTCTAAATCCCACTCCTCAGATTACAGTTTACAAACCCCATCTGAAGGAGAGGACAAACTAACTACATTGTTCAAAAGCATAGGAGTGAGGGGATGAATTTTGGCCCACAAACCTAGGGCAGAGCTCTGATCCTACAAAAAGGCTATGAGATCTTTAACATCCACATAGAGATGTTATGATCTCATTTTTGAGTGTTTCCATCTGAAAGATCTTCCCCACTGAGCTAGCCACATGGTACTTCATTTATCTTCAAAGCCATGGAAAGCTGAGCCAACTCTACAGGGAGCCAATACACTGATAAACTGAAGGAGGGCTCATGTAAGCCCCTCTTAAAAGAGTTGCCTTCAGGTCATGGAAAGGAAAATCTCAGCTTTTATTTGCAGCCAAAGTACATGTCTAGCCACCTTCTTATAACAAGGACTGTAAAAAACATAGAGCAAAGAAATCCGTTGCAAAAACTGGAGCTGGAAGAGGTTTATTTATTTAATTTATTTTTGCTGAGCTCTACTCTTGAGGTACTATTGAAAACAGAGATCATCTCTTCTTACAATTTTAACAGGGTATCAACTTCAGTTTTTAGAGGTATTTCAAAGAATTGGTTTTTGTCAAACTAATTCTTCCCCAAAATATCTACACTGGCCCTTCACTTGGGAGAGGCAACAGCACTGGGCAGAAAGTAGTTGTACATGGCTATATCCAAGAGGCACAGGGGGAAAAAAAAAAGAGAAAAAAAAAAAAAAGGGGGCCACAGAGGTAACTTTCAATGAATTATTCAGTTAAAAGTTTCTGTAACACAATAATGTCAAAACGCTTTTCTCCTTTGTAACATATTTCCAGAGACCAAGTTATTTGTATATAGTTAATAAAGCAAAACATTAAGGGATTTTATTAATCTAGCAGGAGGGGAGGCAAAAGAGGATTAAATCTCTCTTTTGTGTTTGTAAATGATCTCACATCATGCACCACAGACACACTCTGAAGCTAAAGTGTTTTGTGCTTACTCTGTTGTAGTCGTTAGCTCCTCTGTAACATGAGTGGTCTGAAGGAGGCCTTCGCGTTTCTGGAAAGAAAGATGGAGTTAGAAACTGAGATGGCATTAGTAAAGGAGAAGCTCATTAGGGGCTCTGCAGCATTCAGAATCTTTCAGAATCCCAGAGGAGAAAACTGAATAAAGCGTGCTAGCTAAGTTTTGTAGAGGTAGAGGTGAAACAGCTGACAGAGGAGGGCTCACTCCCAGAACAGTGGCATTTATCAGGCTGACAGCCAAATGGATGTTCGGGAAAGGTAGATGTGTGTGTGTGTGTATATATATATATATATATATACACACACACACACATTTGCAGCCAACAAATTCACTAACAATTCTCCTCCTGAGACCAGAGTCAACATCGTGCCTGGAACACAAATTAGAGAGAGTTTGTCAGCCCCATCTTAAATTCCCCAAGGGCACTCGTTCATGTCACGGTGTCAACCAACAATTTGACACAGTTGGCAGCCTGGCTCTCCAGAGAGGTCTGGGGCTGAAATAACACAGATAGCTGCCCCCAGGCCAGGGCTCCAGTGTGCCAGCAAAGCTCCCCAGGCACAAGGGTGGCTCTCCTAAAGCAGGCATGTTACTGAGGCCACCAGCCACACACCTGCCAGGAACAGATCCACCAAGGAAATGTAGGGAGCATAAAAAGCCCAACTACTGATTTCACAACGAACAGTATTTCCCTGTTACTGGGTTTTCTCTCTTTGGGATAATTATCTGCACAAATAAAGAGTCTCCTACCCATCAGAGAGTTAGTATGCAGTGAGACTCAGTTTCAAAACAGCTTTATAACAGCTTCCTCGGCTCTCTTAAGGCACAGCACTCTGGCACAGGTGGGGTCAAATGTTTCTGAGCCTCTCCAGAGTTCTGAAGACATGGCACGTGCCTCTCAGAGGCTGGAAATGCTTCTACCCAAGTCCAAAGCTTTCTTAACATCTCTATGAGTCCCTTTCAAAACCATGGGATATATACTTACGCCTGAATGTAGGAATTTCTTTCCTCCCTTCTCTACATTTAAAAAGCTGACACAGAGAGCTCAAATCTCAGCCGCCATCTAGGAACCAGGGCTGTCAGAATGACTTACGGTAGGGTTAATAAAGCTGCTAGCTCAGATAAGCAGGAAAACCACCCTGCCAGGCACAAGCTCCATACACATACGTCATCTCAGCCATTTTCACCAGTTGATCCCCAAACAAAACCTCTTTAAGGAGAACAGCTTTGAAGAGAAACACATCCCTCCCCAGAAGCAAGCTAAGAAATAAAAATTGAAGTCTAAAAACCAGTAAGAAGAACTCCTGCCCTTCCACTCCCTACTCAACAAATGAAGGCAGCGTTGCTTTCTCCAGCCACCATGCAGGGAGCCTGGCTGGCAGCACGGTGGGAGCCGTGCTCTCCCATTGCTGTGCTGTTACAGCTCCGTGCCTGAGCTGGGCCCTGTGCTGGCTGGCAGTGTCTGCACAGCCCCTCGCTCCCCTACCACGCACACATCTCATCCTGCTCCCCCGAGGGAGCCATGGGAAACAAGCCAGGAGGTCTGGTGAAACAAGCCAGGATGACAGCATAGATGGAAAAACAAGGAAGCATCTGACAGGGCAATGTTTTCTTGCATATAAAACAGTGTTGTCTTTATTCCACCTCGCCAGGTCTCTGCTTTATTAAAACAGGTTTCTGGACCTTCCAGGCACCACCTACCCCAGGGAGAAGATGCTATAAGCTGTGAGCAAAAACTCAGTAACTGGTGACTAGTGAAGAATGCCTCCAAATGCCTGATAAGCCAGAGGAACGGATGCCAATGTGGACTGCCCAAGAAGTAGAAATGGCAGCATTTCTGCATAGCCCCCTCCGAGGCAGCTGAGCATGCTGCTCGCACAGCAATCCTAGGTCCCTTGGCCTTGCAATCCAAAAGCAAATGTCATTCTTTGATAAAACTTTGATTTCCTTGCGCCATTGCCATCAAATACATTTATTCTTCATCCTGTCTTGCCTCTGACCTTTCAGTCTGCAGCTCAGACTACAAAGGAATTACTGTAAAAATACCTTCAATCTCCCAGCAGCACCAAGGTGGGACATGCTACAATTTTAAAAATGAGGATGAGGACAGCTAAGTGCAATAGACGGCAATGCCTGAGCCTTGGAAAAACACAGTGAGCCTTAAGAACAATTTTTACACTTATTTCTGAGAACATTTTTGTTTTCCTGAATTAGAGTATTTCTTCATCATGCAAGTTTACTTTTCAAATATCAGTCAGTAGAGTCAGCTGGAAGAAAAATCTCAGCATTTTCTGTTCTCACTGGAAGTATGCACTGAAACCACAAAGTCTCTCTCCTCCCTGCCCTCACTGAGGAGGGTTGGAACAACAGGCACATACTGAGTGACACCAATATTAAACATGTAACATCTTAGACTCTTAACTCAGTACCTAGAGTAGCTATCAACGGGATCTTAACTAGAAGACCCACCTAAACCCTTGCTGTGCTAGAAGACTTCATGTGTGACTTGAACATATATTGCCATGGTTACAAAATTTTCTATTTCACACAAAAACCACCAAGAAAACCAATTCTGGAGGTTGATTTCAAAAAGGTTTGAGAGTAACTAGGCTTCAGAAACATTTCTCTTGAGAGAGGTTACCTCATGGTGCCCATTACAAAATAATATAGACAAGTGTTTTCTGCTGGGTTAGTCTTGTAGTTGTTCTAGGTAGCACTGACATACAGATAGAGAGGTAAAGGTTCTTCCTGCCAAGGAAGGCAAAGCAGAAAGTTCTCTCCAAAACGCTTGTGGGTCTCTGAGCAAAATATACAGTGCAGGACCAGAAGGCTCAGCTACAGATCTTTCTCAGACTCTGAATTAACTATTTGTAACTAAAATAAAAAAAATACAGCACCTTAGGAAAGTCTGTCTGTCACCTCAAGATGCTGTAGGAAGGGAAGAATTTAAGGGTAGGGCAGAATCACCACCTCTCTGTGGAGATCTTCCCATGTAGCACAGTGCTGTCATAATACTATCTCATTTTATGGAGCAGGACACTAAAAATTAGAGAAGAAAAAGCCCACAACACTTGCAGAAGCTAATAAGGTATTCTGCATTGCTCTGGGATAGGCTATGGAAATACACACAACTTGGCGAAGCAGTAACTTGCTAAACCTGTATGACTCTTATTTTCATACTGTAAACACAGCCCCTCTGGGTAAGAGGCACCTCATGCATCTGCACAGCGTGAGGATGGCTCAACAAAGTTGATAACGATAATCCTAAATGCCAAAGTCACCCATGAAAGTGAGACTTAACTAGTTTTGAAAATTTCAGTGTGGGTGTATTCTTGCACAACACTCCCACAACATGCAGCAAGGTTTTCTTACTGCAGTTGCAATTCTGCAAAGCTTACAAATAAGTCACTTAAACTGTTGATTAGTCCTCTTAAATGCATATTCAAGAAAGAAGAGGCATTTAAACTAAAATCTCTCAGAGCAAACTTCTTACATTAATTGTGATCTAGTTTGACAGATCCCTAATCATTACTGAGATCTGTAATAAGAAATCATTTAACAATAAATTGATAATTATAATAATCTGCTTAATAATAGTTTTCTTACTTGGATTACGAACAATATTAACCTAATTACTGTTCTTCTGTTTGTCATTAGTGTAGCAAAGGCTAAATAATATCCATTTAAAGAGATCTGTGTTACTGAACCAGCCTGTATTTTTTGGACTAGATTATGGATGCTGAACTACAAAAATTAAATTTACCAAACTCTAAGACAAAAGTTATTGTTCCAGAAGAATCATGCATCACTTTATACTGTGCCTTGCTTTCCATTTAAATAAACAAAGCTGAAGAGTTGCAAGCCTCTCCTAGCAGTGGGATGAGGGGGGGCTGAAACAAGCCTCTTCTTGCACGGGGCCAGCTGAGGTAGGCTCACAGCCAGCAGTGGCCATAACCATCTCCAGGCTCTAGGTCCAAGAGCAAGAGCTTACAGCCTCTCCACCTTAAATTAACTCTCATTGTACCATTGCTCTGACACCTTCGGGCACTCCCTTGGGGACAGAGGAGTTGCTCCTTTTCTCTTTCTTTCTTTCCCTAGTTTCTGTCAGCCTTTATCTCATCCTGTCTTCAACTCAGTCTTGACTAGTCTCAAGATGCAGGGACTCTGGTGAAGTAGATGTTCTCAATAGGTGTCTTCTCTATATCCCTCCAACAGGAAAAGATGTGTAAACACCTTCTCCACAGCCTCCTCTCTGCTACAGAGGTCGAGGGTCCTGAAGCTTGAACTGAGTTTGACAAGGAAAATGAGGCTTTACCTCTTTACCTAAGGTTTTTTTCTGACTTGTTAGTTACAGAAGACACTTCACTGTACTGGACAGAAGGAGATTTCTAGCATCAGGGTGTCAGAGGACTGTTGACCACCTTATAATTACATTTTCCTCCTTACTTTTCCAAGACAGTCAAAAGAAATTTAAAAAGAAATCAGCCACCTATTTACAATCATGTTATTTTAGACCTAACTCAACGTTCTTAAAATGAAAGAACTACAGCAGCCTGAAAGCAATTCAAAATCACCTCTTAAAGATAATACATACATTTACTGTGAGCCAGGGCATCCATCAATTACTCACTCACATCACACCCTGTACCTCTAGAGCATTCAGGCAGACAGCCTGGAAAATGCCATTATTTAAATGTAAAGCAAAATGAGGCTTGCCTAATCAACCACCATGCAATCACATCTTGTAAGGGGTTCCATATTTGCAAAAGAGAATTCAAGACCACTTTATCTTCTTTATTCTTGAAAAGAAACCTACTACAGCCTGACAGCTCTAACAGTAAACGGCACGTACAGAAAGCACTTCCACAGCCTGCTTCCAGCAGCTGAGCCTGCCTTAAAACAACAGTGCTGAGCACCACAGCAAACAGTCATGGCGTGATCAGAGTGCCAGCTGGAACAGCTCTGCCTGGTGTTTCAACAGCTGTTGAGAAAAGCTGGGTTTACATGCTACAGACTGTACTGCCACGGGAGCCTCAGCTGGGATAGAAGATGAGCTAAAAAGCAAGAGTACACGTGCTCTGAAAGTAGTCTCTTTGTAGAGTGAAATTAAATGGTCAGCACCAAGCAAAGAAAGGAATAACTATAGTAGTATCTAGGGCAGGAGGGAAGAAGTCAGGTTTCGTCAGGTCAGATCTCCTTTCCATATCTAAGGAAAGCTAACAAAACCACAAGGCTGTGAAAGAAATTATGAAAGTCTATTAGCATGCCAAGGAAAACAACATATCTAAGTCTGGATAATAAGTCATTGCGGAAAAACAGTATCAGTAACAGGCTTCCCAGACTAGCAAGATTCTATGTGCTGAAACTCCTTTCTGTGCTGTTTGTATTTCAATGGCTTCTCTACAAAAGATGCACTGCAAAAACCATTTACTAAAGTGCCAGAAATTACAAACACAACTCTCTTATATAAAATCCCATCACATGGCTTTAGCTTGATACTGCAGCAGCAAATGGTGGTCCCAAACATATTCAAGATATGATCTTCTCAAGACCACACTTAAGCATGCCAAAAATGCATTCCCAGGACTGGGACTCACTAAACAACTAAGACAAGAATTTTCTAAATGACAAGAGATCGGGGGGCAATGGATGGGAGCAGCCCAGTACTGCAAAATCAGTGATAAAAAATGATCGTTCTCACCAATTTCTCTTATGAGTTTATACTCACCCGTACAACTACCACTTGTACAGACACATGTTCAGGCAGTCGAATGGGAGCCCGGAAATGCATTGCCAAAGCGACCAGAAGGTGAAGAATCGAAATCAGATTCTTGCCATGGATTGCTGTAGGGAACAAGGAAAATTAAACAAATAAAAGAATACTGAGGCCTTATTTTAAATACACAACCCTAGGAAAAAGGGAGGGAAAAGACACTGAAAACTGACTTTGCTGAACAGAGTCTTGTTTGCTTTTACCCTTTTTCTTCTTTTTCCTAAATTAACAAGGCCTACGATATATTTTCACAGGTCATAAAGATTCAACTCCTGCTTTAAGTTACATGCCTAGCTTAGATGTCCAAATACCTCAGCTTCTTCTTTAGACAATGAAGACAGGCAGACTCAGTTGCTTGCCTTAAACTGCACTGGAGAATTCTGCTTTTAGCAGACTTCCAAAGTGTTAACACAAGCTTTCCTGGCTGTAAGAGCTGAACTGCACTGACTACCCAGGTGAAGGGATTTCTCAAATTCCATTCCCACTTTTGGATGATAACAGGCCATGCTTGAACAGAGGGCACTTTCTGCTTAGCCTGTCTGATGCTGCATCCTCCAGCAGGATGCGGGATCCTTTTACTCCCACTGTCTGAAGGATTAGACCACTCTCTAGTACTTGAATGACTAATGCATTTCTCATACCTTTAGGTATTCATTCAAATTCAGAAAGCAAACAAAAAACTTTCTAATGAAAGCATATCTCTAAAAGAACAAATTACTTCAATTATCCCATAGCCACGTACATCTGTCCTTAAACAAAGACTGCAAAAGAAGGTACCAGTTGTAATCCATACATGGATGTGGTAACACCCTCTATGCGACTAAATAAATTGTAAAAACCACACTGCATTACAAAGAATATGATCAACCTATTGATTATCATACCCTCCTTGCCTGGGAAGCTGAGACAGAAAGCATAACAGAGTCCTTACAGTCAACATTCCACTTGATTGCCCAGCCATGGGGTCGCAGTAAATCATGGACAGCTTCCAGGACCGTCTGCAACTTTTGTTTCTGACCAATTTCAGATTGTGTCACTTCGGCTACGTTCAGTTTACGGTCAGCCAATTTTTCTGTATTTAAAAAAAAAAAAAAAAAAGAAGAAGAACAATAAAAAGAACAGGCAAAATCAGATTAAACAAGGCCCTGGGTGGGAATAACAAGCACAGAATACTGGGCAGAGCTGGACTCTGCTAAAAATTTCCCAAGAGAATTATTTTCCTCAAAAAGCAAAACAGCTGAAAGCAAACCTTTCAAAGTGTGTCAATTCCAACAAAATCTGTGATAGAAAACTGGTAAGGTCTGGCAGAACGTGTTTACCAATCAGGTGTCAAAATATGTAACAACTTTCAGATAGGCACTAAGTCAGTAATAATATTTACTATATCTCTCATTTGCTTTCACTGCTGAAAAGCTTTTGGCACAACACAGCCTTTACTGCACAAGGAATCTGCATAGGTATATGGACTTTTCTAATAACAAGTTAATGTAGGACAAAAAAGAGGAAATATTGCATCAACATTTGCTTCAGTTTGACAAGATTTATTTCAGGTTAGCTGAAGGTATCAATTTAACTGAAAGCAAATTTTGCCTCCTCAAACCATCAGGAGTCACAGACTCATATGACCCATGGATTTGTGCTGGTTTAGCGGAACGAATTTAAAGAAGTAAATTAGTACAATCTTGTTATGTTGTTATGACACTGTCACATCATGGTTGATTACTTCTAAAAATGAACTAATGCAGGAAATTTTGTAAAATGCCATTACTAAAATTTGAATTCTGTTTCTGTAATATAATTATTTGTTGCCAAAGTCGTAGACAAATCACTCTTCCTCTGTGTCGTGGACCTTGCCAAAGACACAGGAGCTGAATTTCTTTAAAAAACAAAAGCACACAAGAGAGCTGAGGAAGGTAGGGTAGAGTCCTCCAGCCACCAGAGCAATGGGAACAGCTGATCTCTTTTCTCCCTCCACCCTGGGGAAAAAAAATTATCACTCACTCTGCTGCTGTGACTAGGAGGTCAGGACTGGTTGAACATATTCCAATTATACATTATAACTCCAGTCTTTAAAACAAAAAAAACATACTTCACCAAAACTGTTTTCACAAAATGGGATGGGCTACAACTCTAAAGTTTCTTTCAGAAACATTTCAGAGTTGTCAAAACCTATTATTCCAATAATGAAAATATTTCTGCTCTTAAGTTCAAGAGTATGTTTCATCTGGACATTTTACTTATGTGTAGATATATATATATATATATTTTTTTTAAAAGTGACCGAAACACAGAAGTACTTTAACAAACCAAACAGAAGAGACTTGTAGGTTCTCAACTCACAAATAGTTTGAACATTTTGACTATCAGTCTAAAGAAGGAAATTTTTAGCAGTATCTAAATAATATCAATGGGAAAAATGTTCTTTAGCCGAAACGTCTCTGTGTGTTTTTTAAACTGACTACCAAAACATGCAAATATTATTTTAAATTCTTTTAGACATTTTTTTAAAAATTGTGATACTAGATTCATTTTTTGGTCACATATTATGGCTCCTATCTATTCTTAGCCCAGGTTAGCTGCCAGTCAGCAAGCAGAAATTTATTTCCTTTTACTCTGACACCACGTGTACCAAGCCACTCCAGCCTGAGTGGCGCTACTTGTACCTTAATAAAACTAACTAAACAAGGAGCTCCACCTCAATCAGCCAGACACCCATTTGCTAATCTCTTACTCCAACTGCTTCAAAATAAGCCCACCGACAAGCTGCTGTCTTTCATCTGGTTTTTTGTGTCCGCCTATCAAGACAGATCTTGAAACAGCTCTCACACACAAGGAATGACAACTACTACTTGAAGTTTTATGACCCTACTTTGTTAGCCTTTCCTCCAAGCATCGGAAAAGAAGACTTGCACAACAGAGGGCTGACTTAATTCTGAAGCCTCAAGCACCAGAAGCAACACCACAAGCAAAATGTGCTTTGCCTCCTGCATCAATGGGATAGCACAAAGATGGACAGGTTCAGTAATATAAGCCTTGCTGAAGAAACCAAGACACCACTGAAGAACAACGTAAAACTGGGGCTGAGTTGTGATAGCTTCAGGTCAGGGGCGAAGCAAGCATTTGTTCTCCAATCAGAGGCTCAGCGGGAGAAAAATGAGGAAAAAACAGTCCAGTTAAACCCTCAAGCTGCAAGAGGTACATGCCCACCTTTCCTCCTGCAAAATATGCTGAGTCCAACTGAGCTACACATGTATGTATGTATGTATGTATGCATGTATGTACAACTAAGCACCTTCTAAATGTCTGCAGGCCTGAGGGTGGAATCAGCCTCCACAGGGAGCGTAAGAGAGCAGCGACACCTCTGACAAATGGCTACAGTGAAATGCACTACCACCTGCTGAAACAGCAGTGTCTCTATGTAGTGAAGTACAACTGTATTCATGCAAATACCCCCCAGCTAAAATTAACTCTACACACCTACTCTCTTCCATGTCTGGAGGGTTCCAGCTGCAGTCTAACCAAGCAGTATCAAAAGTACTCTTGCTTTATTCCTAAAGTTATTTTTGAGGAGTTTTAATGGCACATAAAGTTAACTGATGGTAACCAATTTTAAAAGCTTGTGAAAGTTCACCAAAATGCCGCAGACCTGTTATTTAAGTGGCACATGCAGAAAATTCAGTAAGCAGCATCCGTTAGCACCAGTGGTATTAGCACCGTGAGGTCCTCTTGTCCCACTCTGACACATACACCCCACACCTCAGCCCACTCTTGACAACATGTCATAAGTAAACTGAGAGCAGTCTGACTATCTGTCTCCAAGAAACAGTGTGGATTTACAATGGCACTTGAAGCTTCAAGTCTCTTTGCTGAAAGCACACCCATAAATCACTGCATCATCAGAAGCTTTTCTCCATCATGCTTCCTGCGTAAACACACACAGTGCAAAGATGAAAGGGGCTTGCAAAATCACAACTGCTTAACTAAGTATATCCCTTCATGAATCATTTGCACATAAATGCACATTATGATTATGTGCCTGCTGCCATGCATTCCCCTTTTCTCGTTTACTTCCCCTGAAAGTAATTCTATCAGGACCTTAAACTTTTTTCCCCAAAAACTTTCAGAAGCAAACTAGACAGACAAAATTTTGGACTGCGTGGCTTCTGCTTGGTCCCCTACCATAAACATGAATCTCTCCACCCTTTTTCTGCCACGCATTTCAGCTGTCTGGACTATGCTTGGTCCATGAAATACCATGAGATACCTAAGAATTACCTGGAATTCTTCCCCCTTTCAGCAGACGGCCAGAGAAAAACAGATAGAGAAACTGACACTGTAGCTATCCGTGAAACAAACTGTATGCCTGGTGAGATGGTGAGTTACTGCACAGACCAGTTGCTCTCTGCAGCTTTTTAGGGGTTAACTTTGGGCCCCTGACAGTCTTTGGGGCCACCTTCTCTTGTGCGAACTCACCCAGCAGCTTTTGCAGCACCTGCCCATCATAAAGGTCCTCTTCAAGCTGTTTGACAATGATTCTCTCCTCCACCAGCACATCATTAATCCAGTCGATTAGAACCTGGAAGTACAGAAAAAGGATGCAAATGTCTAAAACCCACTGAAACATGTTCCTACCATTCAAGGCAGTAATCAGGAATATAAAACAGAGCATATTTATGGTTTACTTCATAAAAAATTTATGGTTACTTCATAACACATTTCCAAGTTGCACAGAAATAACAAAGAGATCTTTTTGCTATATTGTTTTTAATTCAGGTCTTGCAGCATGGCAATTTCAGTGCCCTCTGGTTTTCCTCATTAAAACATCTCCCTGCTGCACCAATTCTAAAGCAAGTAGCAACTAGCAGCTCTGCAACAACAACCTTTGCTAATATCTATGTTCTCCAGGTTCCAAAACTCACGTCTTACCTGTTTTACGCGAACAGCAGACGTGCCAATAGATGATAATAGTCTCACCGTGATCTCTACCCTGGATAGATGTGAGTGGTGTGCCAGAAAGAAGAGCTTCAGAGGGGAAAGTGAATGCTCCTACTAACAGGAGCTAAACAGACCCACTACGTAGATCCATGCCATTAGCAAAAAGGCAAGGCATTTTACCTTAAACTATTGTAGAATACAGAAGTCTGGAATTAAAATTTTGGTGAAGTGGGCCTGATAACCACTCTACAACATATATAATAGTCCCCACATGCTGACTACCATAACTATAAAAATCATTCAATCACCTGCAAAACAGGAATGAACATAAAAAACCTTTAAAAAGAAAATGAACTGAGTTAAGTTTTCCAGATGCCAAAGATAATAAATTCCAAACAGTTACAGGAAAACCAGCCTTGACTGTTTGAAGTTGGCAGTAGTGCTTTCCTCCAGTTTATTATTTGGAAAATTAAATTACTTTTGCAAAAAAATAATATAGTTCTGTAGAAAGAGACACAATGTTAAATCCTGCTAACTCCTTGATTCTATAAGAGGAAAAGAGTATTGCCAATCATAGACACGCAAAATCCATTAACTAGAGTCACCTAAAGTAATGAGGCTCATTATTCTGCAGGTTTTAATTTGCTTCATATAAAATTGTGGATATTTTAAATTCACTTTCTGATTAGATCTCATACTTCTGCCTCCTCTCAGCAGTCATGATGGCTAAAAAAGTTCTGGGGTTTTAATACACAAGAAACTGTGAAACAAAAGCAAATAAATAAAATATAGACAGTCTTGCACTGGAAAACACCCACCTTGGCAATCCTAGGAAACACAAGCATTTAAATATGTTGGTCACAAGGATGCTTAAGTAATTCAGCCTGGCTCCTGAGGTTCACCGAATCTACCAACCTCAAGTAAGTTTTGCTAGGCTTAGTGTAGGTACACAGGAATCACAAAGTGGCTCTGGATACAGGGTGTTAAAAAAGGTAAATGCTTACACTATGCACTATGTACTACTTAGGTGTTTCAGAGAAACTGAGCACTGAAAAACTTCTGGCAAAAAAGTACCTAAAAAGAGATACAAATTAAACAAGGTCTAGCCACATTTATTTTATTATTTTAATAGCTCAGCACCTTAATGAAAAAAAAAAATCCTAAAGAACATTACAACTTCTTCAGTACTCAGACTACAACTCCTGTTTTGCTAAAAAAAAAAAAAAAAAAAAACAAAAACAAAAAACAAACACATTCGCAATGCATATTTAAGAAAAAAAATAATCTAAGTTTGGGGTTTGTTTTTTTTTTGTTTTTTGTTTTTTGTTTTTTTTTTTAAAAAAAACAGCACTCAAAGACTAGGAAGTGCTGTAATTAAAAACCAAACAAATAAACCCCCAAAATCTGCTGTCTTACCTCTTGATTTCCTGATTGTGTCTTAATTAGGAGCCTGGAAAAATCTTTCTGCACAGAGGGATGGTTTTTTTAACTTTTACAATGGAAATAAAGCACTACATTGGTTATTGAAATGACAAACATGCAGGAATACTTTCTGACTTTCTGCTCACAGAAAGCCAGCTCTCCAGTTCTTTGTAGTTGCTCCTTCATGCAAGGAAGTAGAAAATATTCAATAACCTAAATGTCCAAAATTTTAAACAGCTTGATACAAGCACAAAGTACTTGGTGGGAAGCAGACAGAAGGTGCAGAGAGCTTTTCTTGTGCATGAAAATATGCTTAACTTCAATATGTCTGGTCTCACAGGCCAGACATTTCTGTGCCTGTACTTCACACATCTGCAGTTCGATACCACCTTTTAAGCTCAGGCTACATTTGCTGCATTAGATAACAGGTGTAAGAAACACTGCAGGACTGAGGAAGTGCTTTTATTTCCAAAGCCTGCTCTCCCCATGTCAGCCCTAACGCCGTGCCTCTCCTTCCACACAATGGCCGGTGAAGCCACCACAAGATCCCACATACAGCTAATGATCCTCAATGCACCTGAGACTCATTTTCTCTTTCAGTGCTTGGAGACTCCCAAAGCAGTATGCAGGTACGTGGAAATGTCTGTTAGGTTACTTAACTTGCCATACCTTCATAAAAAGCTGCTTTTTTACAGTATTCTATAGTATTGGGGATTTTAAAACTTTAATACAATATCCCCATGTCCTCAAAACCATGCCTGCCCTTTCATGCGTATCCATACTTATATAAAACATTTCTGGAACTGCATCAAATGCTCAGACACACGCATTTATAGTTTTAAGATTTCCAGCAGTGCTTTAAATTCTGACACATCCATTTATCATAACATTTTTAGGACAAATGCATATCTCTGGTTAAATGAGCCATGCTGCATTACTAAACACTGGGCTGAAAACTGAAATTCACCATGAGGCAGACAGCTGAAACAAAAGAGTGCTAGAAATCTAGAAGGAAAAATGAGTCTGCCTGGCCGATTTCTTTTTTTAATTCATGCAAAAGGGGTTTTTACATCAAACTTCACCAGCTCAGTGAAATATTTTTGTTCTGCAGATTGGCTGCTCCCATGGCAGTGAGGCACATTCAGAGTTAATCTGCAGAGTTCAAGGGCATAAGGACCCCACAGTCACACTATACAGTAATGAGTAAAATGAAAACAAGACAAAACACATTAACACATCTGGCACAATGGAAAAACAGGAAACCCAGTCACCAAACACCACCACCACCCCACCACCACCCCCGATTTCAATGACCCTTTCCCCCCACAACTTCTGGGAGAATTAGGAGCAGAGATCAAAGTTATGAAAGCTTCACTGGCCTCAGGGTTGAGCATGGAACTTAATATGAAAAAATGGTATTCAGGCCTGGAAACTACTTGAATAAGCACAAAGCACTGGCAGCCTGTAAGCAAATAGAAGGCTTTGTGTTTTCAAAAGCAGACCATGGAACATTTAGGAAGCACAGTTTCACCTGGTCACATGTGAAACCTTACCAAAAGGACAGTGGCTTCATTTTGGTTTTCTTTTCACCACAGCAAATTTTAAAAAGCCAGAACATTAGACATGGAAAAAGGTGGTCATTTCTAGGACAGTGAATGAATTACTACAAATTAGAATGCTTACTCATCTCAGGCAGTATCTAAAACAGCAGTGTTTGGACCTGTGTTAAGTTTAGATGAGGCTTTAAAGGCCAAAAGCTGTTGCATTATCAGCTGATCTCACAGAAGTCTTTGCAGGGAGGGAAAGTATCTTGAAACGATGACCTTCTGTCTTTTGGCAAGGGAAGGCACTTTCAGACAGGACCCAATTCTTGCAAGCTGTTATTCTAAAATTTTGGATTCAACTAGTAGAAGCTCTTGTCTACTTTTCCTACCAAAATACATGAGAAAACCCTAGGAAGTCTGCCATGTATGTGAAACGTTAAAATTTTCAAAGTCTCTGACTTAATTCCTACAGCCTATTAACTCTATGTTCAGGATGACAACCAGCAATGAAACTTTTACCCTTCAGCCATATCTGAACCACAAGGAGGAAAAAAGATTCCTTGCACCTTTACACATAAAGAAACACGCAAGATCAACAAGGAAAGCTCACATAGATCAGCTACCTTTTTTTTTTTTTAAAAAAAGTATTCAAAAAAGAGCTAGAAGAATCCCCAAACACATTTAGTGACATTGACCAACTGAGGGAAATATATGTATTAATGGAAACTTAATTTGAAACAGATTCACAATAACTTACAGACTGGAAACCTGACTCTGTAGTATACAAAAAGAAACAATATATCACAGGACACCACCTCTGTATCCATTCACGAAACAGACCAAACTTATAATTCAAATGCTTACTTTAAGTTGCTTGTGCACTTGTCACTTTGGAAATACTGGGCAATGAGTAAAAGAAGCTCACACATTTCCAACACCAGAAATAGAATATCTTGTCAATAAATTATTTATAAATATATATATAAATAAAATGATAACTCATCTCTCCCTGATCTGAATTTTCAGCTTTAGGTCTGTTCAGCCATGCTTCAAACTGTGTTTGATTACACACAGAGCAAATGAAGTGAGGGAAAAAAGGCTGCTGGCCAGAGGGAACTTAGCTGAACATTTCATATTGAGAAATTTCGGCCAACTATTTTTAGAATACCATCAATGATGATAACAAACAACACTCTGAGGCATAATTCTAGTTCCTGATGACTTTCATATGTGCAAGAGGACTTAAAGCAGGTATTTTAGCATCCCCAACTAAGCAGCTTTCAACAAGGGGGTTCACTGTATATTTGCTTTAATAAGAGTGAGGAATGAGGCTTTTTGTTACTTTTTTTTCTGTTGGTGTCTCTGCGTTACCACAATGCTATACAATCTGTCCCTCCAGAGTTACAATGCCTATGTTAAAATCATTTCCAAATGTTCACACAAGCTTCCACTGATCAATCCACTATGCATAATTCTTACAGCACGAGGCTAGCAGAAATTAAAACAACATTTTGTGGAGACAAAGAGATACTAAAGCAGTGTCAGCAACAGATATCTCTGCTGCTTCTTTTCACTGAGATCCATTTACCCAACTGTATGTGACTGACAGAACAGAAACACTCAAAATCAATGATGGCAAATCACTGGCATGTCTAACTGGTGTTGAAAGAGATTTGGGCTGGCACCAATGAAACTAAGTCATATTGCCAAATTTCAAAAGGCATGAGGCTCTACTGCTGCTATTGACACATTCCTCTCTGAGAGGAAAAGAGAGAGAAACACTTTGAACTATAAAAACCCCCATCTATTCAACTCCTCACCCCTTAGTAGTCTGTGGAGATCTTTCATTTCAAGCTCTGTGGGGCAGGCAGTCTTTTCTGCTGGCTGCTTAGCACAGCTAATTCTCATCAAGCACTGAGGCTCTTGGAAAATGTCATTAACCACTGAAGAGCAGAAAACAAGGAATAAACGGCTCTTTTTTTTTTGTTGCATTATCCAAACTGCGTGTCATAAAATAGGTTTTTCCAACATAATTCCAACCTCTCTTTGCCTTACAGATTCACACCAACACAGTGTTAAATATTTCTTTAGCCGAACCTCTATAAAAACTCTCAACTTCTGAGAGGTATGCAAATGATTAGCAATTACCTAAACTACAAAATTTTCAAGTAGGCATTTTCAAGTAGGGACTCTACAGGACACATCTCTCCTTTGAGAATGATCCCAAGGAAACATCCTCCAGTTACATGCTGTTCCCTGCACCGGCTGCTCCAGTTCAATTGGTAATATGCTGCCCTCTCTTCATGCAAGTGTAAACTGGAGTAGTGAACCACAGCCTGATTCTGCAATGTGCTGCAACAACTCCGACACATTTTTGATGCTGCTCTAGCCCTGATTTTCATTCCTCCTGAAGGTTTTCCAGTTTTTAAACCAGAAAATACAACCTTGATAGACTATGACATCCAGGGAAGACTCATCAACTCTATTAAATTCAACAGCAAAATCCCCAATTTAAAAGCAATTCTAATCTCAGTATCAAGTCTCCTGCATTACAGAGTGCATCTGGTTCCTTCATTCCAACAACTCTGGTTCATCTAAATTATTCATGATAATATCACTTCTTTACTAGCAAAGAAACTACAGTATGTTTTGAAAGAGTGGTGAAAGACCTCTCTACCTTTTGAGAGAATTAAGGGATTTAGGTACTAACAAAGAAAGAATGTGCAAATTCACTTAATTTAAAGCCACAATGTATTCCAGGTGAATTAGAATAACAAATAAATTTGAGCACAGCTCCTTGCTAAACTCTGATGTGGTTTTATAATCCTAAACATGTTACTGCAGTGTTAATAACAGATCACTGGGCTTGTTTTAAAGATGTACCTGGTGAGCAGTTTGCTGAAGCATTCTATGAAGCGTATGTGTGTAACTCAGGTGCACAAGGTTTCCTGAAAGGAATGTGCCACAGCTCAATCCCCTGTCTGGATACAGTATACCCTATCCAAAGTTTCATACCCACCCAGTTTCAGCTGCATTGTTGTTTCTAACAAAAATAATTTTTTTAAAATAATTTAAAAATAACAAAGAGGAAGTGTAGCAGCTAGTATAACACAAGCACAAATATTTTTTGGAAAGAGATCACATTTGTTTAGAACTGTCATCCCTTCTCTTCCTGCTCAAGCTTTCACTACGTTAACCTCAACGACTTACTGCATCGATAAGGTTCTCCTAAACACCAGTCCCTCAAGATCAAATCCTTCATCATACCTGGCAGAAACTATGAGCACTGGTGAGGCAGGAAGAGATGCTTCACATCAGCAGAGCTGGGAACACCATTATCAACACCTTGGGCAGGTGTCTCCAGTGACAATATAGATTCAGGACAACATGGCCCCAGCACACAGGTGAACTGAGGACTTTTCTTTCTTTAAAAACAAAACAAAACAAAAACAAACACAAACAAACAAACCAACCTACCACAACAGAATATAGGGCACAAAGAATCTCAGTTCCAACTTTCTTGTAACACTAGATGTCTCCTCTTTGTCCCCTACCACGTCCTTGCTCATTTCACTCCTACTATTTCTTCTCCTGAAATCTTAGTAATGCTTTCCAAAGCTCCTAGGTTTATTGGCAGTGGCTGCAGGCTGATTCAAGTTAAGCAGTGATCCTTGCTGTGATAATCACAAGGATGTAAATGGATAGGGGAGCTTTACTCCGTTAACTACCATGAGCATCCTGACATTCAGCCTTTTCTTGTTTCTCTCACAGTTGCTTTTAGCCTCACCTTGTTTTCACAGATACACTTCAGTAACAAGTTGTTATTCCTCAACTGTCTTCTTGGTAACCAGGTTGGAAATGATGCCAGTTCATCAGTTAAAAATTTGAAGAAGGACAAAACAGTAATTTCCTACCTTAATCAGTTCTTTGAACTTGGGGTCTTCTTTTGAGTTAGGATCAATCATAGTGCGTTCCTCATTCTCCTCTGTCCAAGTAAAATGGGAAACTTCAGTGAGATCCACTTCAAATGTACACTGCTGAAATACTGGCAACAATTGCTAATCATGAAGTGGTCTGTCAGCTGATCAAGAAATGACAGTGCCTACTCATCATCTTAGCAAGGGAATACCCAACGATCAGTCTTAGGCATTTTTAGAAACACACAGAAAGATAACACAGCCCTAACTTCTCTAAAATAATTGTTTTCACTGACCTTCCCCAGCTCAGACCCTGCTGTATCCAGAATACTTCAGGGAAATCACTGTCCTCCAGACCCTGTGGGGCATGTTAGTATTAACATGCCAAAAAAGTGCAGTCAACTACTTTTCTCCCTCTTCTCAATTTGTATTTAATTTCTATTTGAAAACACCTGTCCCAAATTACACCATCTTGAAGAGCATAGAAAGTTTATGGTACCACACTCAGTGCAACTGCTGAGACTTCGGCTGACAGTTTATGCCTCTGCTCTCTGGTTCCCTCAAACTCAGTCACGCATGTGGCCCTGAGTGCGTGAACTCCTTCACCTCTGGTTAAGCTGGAGTACGAAAATTACCCCAATTTATATCAGTTATACTTGTGCATGGAGGAAGAATATAAAATAGATTTCTCAGGTGTAAAGTCTTCTATTTCTTCTGTTGCTGGGAGATGGAGAGATGTGAAGAAAGCTCTCCAATGTCCAGCAGGACAACCCCAAGAGGCATGAATACATACATTAATTTTTAGAAGGGATAATTTGATACAGAAATGTTGGTAGCAAAATCAACTTGAGCCCAGTAAAGCTAACAATCAAAAAACCTTTGGCAAATTATCTTCACAAGAGCACATGCGGACACATATATCACGTGCATGTTTATATGCTACTGTAGATATGGATACCAGTATTTAGGAAGCAGCTTGAGCAAGTCTCATATTTTAAACTCTGGTGCTTGCTTTCAAGTAGCAGACCTCTCCCTGCACCCTTCATTTTAGCTCCTTCAGTAACCAAGTGGTAGCTGTGATCTAGGTTAGATCTGTTCATTTCAGTGGAGAGCAAACCCTGGCTACTACATAACAGGAACACAAGGATGGGTGACAGCATCACAGCGATGTGAGGGGATACACATCTCTTCAGCTAAAATAAATATTTATAAACCCCATGGATTTATCTTTAGCTGAGTCTAGACAGGCCATATAGAATCCTATTTTCCTACTGATTTCTGAATTGCTTTCAGCATGAAAACAAAGGAGGTGTTTTGGTATGACCATTGGTCAGGCCATTGCCACACTGCACAGGGGAACCCTTTAAAGCCTGACAGTGATCAACCTACAGTGACTTCCTATTGCAGTGCTAGACTCCACTGCTCTCAGATGGGAAACACGACACTCACACATCCTAGACACAAGACCATCTAACTGGTTACCTTAGACTTCACCCAGACTTCTGGGTTTAGTATTTTCCACAGCCCCTCATCTTTATTTAAAAAATAAGACCCTGCTATCTGAGCATACTTGACAAATTTCCACAAACCTATGAAAAAACATTAGTTCTTTTGCTGCTTTTTCCCCTCCTGGTTCTTTTACTTCCTCATTACTGCCTAGGATGAGTCAGGCACTCTAGTTGTAAGGAAGTGACAGCCACTACACACCCAAAATAATGCTAACTGAAACCCTGAACAAGATTTGACTCATAATGGAATACATTCACCACAGAATTTTGCCGAAGGTTCACCAGTGGTCACGTCTTTGCCTGACAGGCCTTCAGGAGTGGTCCTGCATCTTCTGAAGTCTTATATACCTTTAATGGTACCAGAAGAAATCACTGGAGACACTCCTGATCCAAACATATACACAAAGCAAACAACACTTTGCCCACATCTCAGAAGAATAGTACTTTGCATTTCCTACTACTTTTCTAATCAAAAAAATCTAAATTACTAACTTTTTTGGTTTTAATTTATCGTTTATTATTTTTTTCTTTAACAGCTTGCTTCAGCTCAATTCTGTAGATTAAGAGACATATGTCCAGGAAAGAAAAAAGTGTTTTATTACAACAAGTTTTTAATACTTTTTGCTAATAAATTATGCTGTTGCTCTTGTAGGGACTCTGAGGTGGAGCAGGGGGTAACAGAGAGAACAGAAATTTGAATATTTACCTCCTTTCTACAAAGCATTGCTTGTTTGACATACTTCTATCCTAATCACATTTAAATACTATTTTCAGCAGCCTAAATGCTCATCTGTTCATTCAATATCAGGTCCCATTTTGCTGTACTGTCACTTGCAAAGTGACAGCAGCAACCCAAGGAAGAACATGGCATCCACTAGTTAACAAGTGTAGTATGCATGTTGAGATAAGCCTAAGGGTTCCACAGGAACCACAACACACGTTTCTGCTACAGACTTTCCATGGATTGGTCCTTCTGCACTTCAGTTCCCCATCTATATATACAGAGAGAGAAGATATCACTTCCTTACCAAAGAAAGATGTTTGTGATGCACTTGGCCAGTGGGCTAATGGAATTGAAGTAAATCTTAAGCAGCATTTTCCATTTAATTTTTTGTAAACCTCAGCTTTCTATCTACCTTCAGTATGCCCACAGAACTCAAAATTCTCTGCCAATTCATTGAACAAGTCAATTTTCCCATAAACTACCTAGTTTAAGTGTATCTGCGCAGCTGGCACTGCTCTTTAAATTCCATTTTAGCCCTTCTCATTTCTAGTCTGCATGTGACATGGAACAGTTCTCAATTCTCATGCCCAATTCTCTCAGTTTCAACTGAGCAATCTACATTCAACAGTAAAGCAATGGATATGGGGGTCAGAGCGGTCAACTTCATTAATAATTGTTTGGTCGAGGTCTGTAGCATACTTCACCTAATAGTGTGTCTTCTGGATGGATGTCCACAGTGCTTGGGTTCATTGGTGCATTGATAGCATTTTTACCTTCTTCTTGGAGGTCACTCACTGAATAGAAGGAAAAAACAGAAAGAAAGACTGTAATAAATGCTAAGTTTGCAGATATGTAGGGGTTGAAGAAGGTATTCATAATAAGAGAAAACATCTGGTAGATCCATTTCAAAATGGGCTCACAGTTTATGGAATTGAGAACTGCAGCCACAGTGGAAAATAAAATCAAAGTAACATCCTTTTATAACTTCTTATTAAACTGAGCCACCACACAACCAGCTGAAAATATTTTGCAAGAAATCCAGTTCTGTGGTAAGAGCAGCCTCAGAGTGCTTGTTTCTCCAGAAGAAAGGGGTGTGAGCTTTGTCTGCAGGACGTCCCAGATCGAGAGCAGACAGCGAACTGTAAAAACAAACTCCTTTTCTGACACCACGACCACCACTCATCACCACCTTTTCCAGCTACAGAACACCAGGAACTGCAACTTGCTACTGGCCTTATTAAAAGCCTCAGAGAAGCCCAGGGAGACCTACCAAATAAAGATGAAAATGTATTTAATTCTAGCATTGATGCTGGCTAAAAATAGATGTAACACAAATCTGGAATCTGTGATTTCAAGCTCTTGTCCTAAACCTACAACTCTCATTTGGGAAAGTCAGTAAAGTACCTTTCATCAATAAAATGGATATTAAAATATTTCCCTACATCCTGCCACATAGGAGGAACTGAACTTGAGGACAAATACTGAATAGTTCTTTAGTATCTTCACAGAACTCGACCGTAAGAAAAGCACTAGCAGCACTATAACACTTTTACACTCTCCAAAGCACATCTCCCCTTAAACTCAGATAACTTATTTATTATACGACAAGCTATTGAAATACATGCATTTGAAACAGGAGATACAAAGACACAGTAACAGCCCCATCTGTTCAGTGATAGTTCTGTGTTAGCATGGGCTAAGATAAATTGTGGCAGTATTTGTGGGATTGCAGTCTTGCTGGACCTGGAAGAGGTCCAAGCCGCATACTCTTTTCAGGGAAAAGCAAAGCAAGGACTTTCAAATACGTACGGTCTGCTGGACAAACTTTCCTGAGGAAATAAAAGGAGGAACAGTTAACTAATAGTCTCAGTTTCCCAACAAACACTTCCTTCAAGAATAGTCACTATTCCCCTTTCCCACTGGAAAATCAAACCACAGGCTAATCATCTGCATGCAGTCTGCAAAGGTTACAAAATCCTAAATCAGTGTTTGCTTTTTTCCTGCTTGATAGAAGGGGAAAACACAGAGATCCTACTGCCCCAGAGGAAGACAGGGAAGAATACACTACAATTCCCAGTCCTTCTCTCACAGATACTTGAAACAGGTGCTTAAAACAAGTTACCACATTTCTTAATCGCAGTTCCAAGATGTTAGTTAATTTTGTTTCACAGCATGATACTGAACATGACTAAAATCCTCAGTTATTAAACGCTGTTCTTATGTTCTGCAAGCAACAAACATCACTCTCATATTTTCAGATCTTATGGCTCATGAACCATGTTAGAGCAGCTGGTTAGAGCTAACACGGCACAAAGCCTGGGGGAAAGGGGGCTGCCAGCAGCAAGCTCGGCTTGCGTTCTGTATTGTGCACCTTCTGCAAAGGGAAGGGAACAGCACTCTCGACTGCAAACAGAATACAATGTCTGCAGGCTGAGATTTAACCTTCTGAATAAATGTCATTATTAAAGAAACTCTTAATTACTCCTTTTCTGCAGTCATTCTCATTTTCTTGGAAAACTCTCCAAACAAAAGCCAGGGAGCCAAGAGGCCTCATGCAACAGAGGCAAACGGCTCTAACAGCGTGCCTTAGCCAGCCCTGTCTGCATTACACCCAACTAGAGCTTTCTCACCCGAGCAACTCCTACATCGTGATGCCAACAGGAATACAGCCACCAGGAGGCACAAGAAAAATCATGGACAGAAAAAACTAGACATTAAGTAAGATTTTTAAAACCCTGCTAGGACTATAAATGCCCAAATTCCACTTAAATCAGGCTCCTTTTGGAAGTACCAGCCTTGTTTCTAGATGTAACTTGCTCTTCATTACTGTAGCATTGCTGTCATTCTGGGAATGCCAAGTGTCCAATAAGGTCTGGGCATTGCTGTTCCTAATGCTCTGCAAATGCAGAACAGAGCTGCTAAGTTCCTCTGGTCAGTGAATACATGGTACCATTTTCAGTGTATGCTGTATAAACAAAATGCTGCATACACTTCAAGCCAGAACACTTTTAAATGCAGCTAAACTAGTCTTGTTCCCAGAAGTTCAATTAAGATAATACACTTACTTTTTTGTTAATATAGAAATAATCTTCACTCTTCCTGACAAAAATACCTTGTTTCTGAGCACTTTACTGAACTGAAAGAAAACATTAATACAAATTTATGTATTAAGCCCCCATCCCTCACGACATGAAGAGCCACATAAAACCCTTAGGTGTGCCTTCAGATCCAGTGTGGCTGGGCCAGATCCCACAGGACGAAAACATCTTCTGCTACCACTACTGGCAAAGCACAGCTACGACAGCAGAAAGCCCCCCAGAGCCTGCTGCCCAGGGAGAGCCCTGCTTACAGAGAGCCCACACACCAGGTCCTAGGCAGACAGCTTAGAAAGAGATTTTTGCTACAGACGTAATGTTTCCTACCTCCTTTTTTGCGTCTCTTGCACAGGAGCCCTGCCATCCCGGCCCCAGCAGCACCAACACGTCGCAGATGAACAACCGCATGGGCCGTCTGAATGCTGAAGGAGCAGCAGCAACTGTGGATAAGGGGCTGCCACCTCGGGACTGCCAAACCTATGTTAATTTGGGCATGGTGACACAGGAGGAAGCACTAAGATAGCCTCCCAGCTGCTGGGGCAGGGGGAGGGAGGACACAGAACTTAGCCATGGACTCCCAGCCAGAAATACCTCCCTGTGCTTGCCGCTCCTCTAGATAATCAAGTGCCTCCCTTGGCCTGCTGCTGGCTGCCTAAGAGCAGGCACCTCAAAGATGGTGTGTTCTCTGCAAGGAGTTTCCTGAGAAAGACATCTCCACCCTCTGGCCAAAGCACAGTTGTGTTCCCCACTGCGACAGGTTGCCCCAGGAACAGAGGTTCACAGAGCAACAGCCAGCACGCAGAGAAGCAATTGCACTCAGGAACACAAATTTTGTAGAATCATAGAATGGTTTGGATTGGAAGGGGCCTTAAGGATCATCTAGTTCCAACCATCCTGACATGGGCAGGGACACCTTTTCCCAACACCTGCTGTACTCCAGAACCATTCCACACTGTACTTGAAAAAATGCTGAGGACTTTTCCCTGCTTGCTGCCCCCAGTATTCACTTATCACTGTCGAGCAAAGAAACAGAAGCAGGAAAAGGAAACCAAGCCACAATGCTGGAAAAAAACAGAGAACCCACAAATGAGCAAGTGGAGACAGTTAAAATAATAGTTGGGATGGAGCAACAGGTACATTTCTGATAAGAACCCAATAGGTGTTTTAATGCAAATTTACAACAAAGACTGACTTTCAGTCCATGCTTTCACAAACCCAAACGTACTGTAAAAGATTATGGATATTAATTGATTGGCAAACACCAACCTCCTTGACTTTGCTGTAAGGTTTATACCAGACTGTTACATCAAACGAGCCACCCATGCAAGAGGGCATCTTACTGGTAGAGCAGAGCTGCACCTGCACAACAGGTTATAGTTATGGTAGGTCCCACATGAGGTATTACTGCTCCTTGCCTGCTCTCCACCTGCCCATTCACAGGTCCCCTTCTTGTCCCCTTCCCCACAGCAAACATCTGCCGTTACGTTGGCAGAGTTCTTTGTTCCCTAAATGAGATCCATGTAAAACATCTTTCTCTAAAACCTGATCATTTAATTTCATAGACCACTCAGCGGAAAACTGCAGTAAGGGAAGACAGAAAGGGGTAGGAAATTGAGTAGAGGATGGAGTAGCATCACTTGGTCTAGGCTGGTCCCCAGCAGAACTTTTCCTATATCTGTTGGCCCAGGACGGTTTGTTTGCTCCCGCTGGCGTGCCACACCATGCCGCAGCAGAGGTCTCACTCACACATGCCAGCAAAATTCATACGAGCAGCCCCAGTTTCCAGGGAACATTCTCTTGCCCATGAAAAGAGTTTTCCCCCACCCGTAACACTGACTGCTATTGTTTGACCCACAAAACAGACTGATAAATGGTTAGAGCCTTAATGTAAAACTTGCCGATGGTCTAAATGACTCAGCTGTGAACTTAACACAGGACAAGTCAGGTGTAACTACAGGCACAGAAAGATGACGCCTTGGAAAGGTATCTGGCAGATTTAGCTACAATTTCTCCCAGATGTCTGCTATAGCCTCCCTCCCTTCCAGCTAGAGATCTCTTCTCTGAACAGATCCTCAATTAACAGGCAGCACTAGTCCTCCTAACCACTTCAGTACCTCATCAACCAGCACTAGCAAAACCCAAATGTAATAAGGGACGGGCAAGTGGCCAAGGCATTCAGAAAAAACCCTGAGTATTTCCCTAAACCAGAAATTTAAATTCAGGAATAAAAGGTCACTTCTTTACCAGTCCCCAGGAAAGCAGCAAGGGTTCCTGGCAGCTCTCTGATGTTTTAACAATCTCCTGGCAGTGTCAGCAGTCAACGTGATTTAGTCACGCTGGAAGCTGTGCTGACCTTTCAAACAAATTAATATAATGAGCGGATCGCATATACACATGCTATACAGCACTACATCTGTAAGCCAGGCAGGCTGTCTCAGTGCATGGGATTACATGCAAACTGCACAGAACAGGAGCAATTAGCTGCAGAAAGTCAGAAACACCACCGGAGCTGTCAAGGATTTCTCACAAGTCAGGAAATGGCCTTTAAAGTCAGCAGGAACGCTATAAAAAGAAAAGATGTCCCTGCTTTCTCCTTTTTATAAGAAAGAGCAAGCTGATGTCAACAAATTGATCCTTCCTCCTTTCACTCTTAATAATTTTAGTGTAATTTTAAAAGATATCAACAACAGCACAGACCA